CAACAGGAAAGGCAAGCAACTAGTAAGATTAGTATAACATCAATACACAAGAACACATATTAAAAATTTGTTGGCCTATATACCGTACGAATATTTCGTTATATACAATTTCATTAAAAATAAATATTTTTAAATAGGGTATCATTGTATCATAAAATAAATAATATTCGATGAAACGTTTGTAATACGTGATATATGAAATATTTTACTCAGTCCGTTGTATACATATATATCTCAGAATTCAAATAATATAAGTTCATTAAGTCACCAACGATACCAATTGAAAAGCTGATGGATACCAAGGTAAATCAAGAGTAATTAACAACGTCGACCTGAAATTGAAGTCTTAAATGATTCACAAATTAATCCATTTTAAAATATTTTATGATATTGTAATGCAAAAAAAAGTGTCATTCTACAATCCCAATGTAATTTTGTACATTAAATCTATTTTTTACCATTTTGAATAATCAATAGTATTTTACTTAAATTATTTTCATTTAATTAAACATACATTAAATAGGGATATATTAGTCTATTATACAATTTTTTTAATTTATGTGCAAAGAGTCAAAATGACACTTATTTAAAAACAGAGGGAGTATGTATTAACTGATATATGTATAGTCTTTCTTTAATATATAAGCATGATATATAGTCTTTGCTTTTTAATTAGTGAAAAGAAGAGTTAGGAGAAACTTCTATGTATATTTTGAAACATAAAATAATTAAGGGCCCTTAGTTCAAGTGCATGCATGTGCTAATGTTTCCTTAATGACGGGATTAATGCTAAACAAGCCAACTAAGATGTTAGTATAAAAGTAAGGTCACTTCTCATTAGGCCCCCTTACGTGACTTCATCCTTTAATCTGAGTCTACCACACTTTCTAATCAGTCCCTTTCTCCTTGTCTGATTAATAAACTTCTTATTACCACAAAAAGCCGATAAATTGTCCATCAACATCGTTGATTCATAAAAAAAAACAATCATCGTTAATTCGTTGTAGAACGTGATTAATTAAATATCGTGCAGTGCACTTTCTCTTTGCATAAAAAGTATTGTGCACTTTCACAAACTTTTATTGGATGTATATTTTCGTTATTACGTAATATGATTGGTTAATGCTATATCCACTGTAAACTGCAAACATGGATGTCTCATGTAAATTAAGTAGGAGCTATAAGAACAATAAAAACAGTAAATATTTTTCTGCCATGTCAGGTCACCTGAATTTTTAGAAACTATTTACAATTCTATTAAAATAAATCTCACTTTCATATATTGTTTGATTGACACACTTAAGAATGGTTCAGAGAAATCAAAAGCACCGTTAAACCGTTTATATATATTATTTTAAAGAAATTAGGGACTAACTGGGTTTAAGAATGAGTTCTGGTTATACTATAATGGACGTGTTAAGTGTAGAGCCTCTTCTCTTTTCCTTTATTTGTCGGCGATGTTTTATTGTCAGCGTGAGTTGTGACAGTGAATGACAAACGACAGCGACGGTATTATTTACCGAGTTAGCCCTTCTTCATTTTAACGCTAGATTTTTAAATCACCTTAGGGCAAAACCGCAAAAACCAACAGAAATAACAGAGTCTGCGAGAACAGCTCATATGCTTATGTTCTCATATGTGTGTGTTTTGGTGTTTTGGTTTGATGGAATATAGTAATTAATACTTCCAATAGATAGATAGACATAACGTAGAACACTTCTGTTATAGTGCATGAAGATCAACCATGCAAACTATTCGATCCTTCCCCACAAAGACAAAGGTTCATTAAATAAGAAACAAGGAATTTTCTCTATATACTTTTTTTTTGTATACACTTAAGTCGCTGCTTATTATACACTGATTTGATAAGCACCAGCATAAATATTCAATATAGTTATATTTAAAACCACTTTTAAGATAAAATTTAATATGATGTGATATATATTATTTTACTTTTTGAACAGATGTGATATATATTATTTATCTCGTATTGTGAGATCAAAATTGTTGAAATGATTTTGTTTTGAGATTATTTGCGTGTAAACGATTATAACTGAACCACGTATACACTTTTAAGAAATCATTTAAATATTGAGAACAAATCAAACATTTAGTAGTAGTATTGAAAAATAAATCAACAGTTGTTGGTTTAAGACAGCTTCCTGATATCTATAAGATAGGCATCGTCAAGGTTATTATTACAAAAGGAATATATTAGTCTGGAAAATTGAAACAACGAATAAACATGCATGCTCCTTAATTATCAAATTCAAATGAAAAATCAACGCCTAAACATACTGAAATCAGATATGTTTTGCAAATAATGAAAGGGGTGCGGCGGAGATATGCATGATTGTCTCTTATGATCATGATGCTGATGATGAAATGATGGGTATTAATCATGCATGATCCTAATCAAATATGTTCAATTTAAGGGATACTAATATAATGTATAGTGAAGTTAAAACATAATGTTTTATTGTCCATGATATACTTCAAGAACGTGTTGATTGGGAATAGTCTATTAGACTATTAGTTTATTGAGGAAGTTTGATTAAAAAGAAACTCACTCAATTGCCAAGTCTTTCCATATATTATTGGCGTTTCTTGTAATCACTTATTTGGTGGATTATTTAATTTGAAGTATCTTTTTGACAGCTTTGGTTCGAGATATTCTACAATAAAACCACTAGTCCATTTATTTTAATGTGTTTGATTATGAGACGTTCGTGTCGGTTTTGCTTATTTTTAATGCAATTTTTGGAGTCCTGCATGAACAATGGCATCAAACAATATATTCCTTCGTTAAAGGCTTCATAATATATTAGATGAAAAGAAAATTTACATTAGTTGAAATCGGAAATATAAAAGGTATGGTAATGATTCATACGACTGATTAGTAAAATAATGATTTCCAAAATAAAAGCAATTAAGAAGGAAATACTAAATTTGACTACATATTATCAGTTTTCGATTTTTGATTCTTCTCATTAAACCTTTATAGTTTATTAACCTGTAAATACACCATATAAGAATATCAAGAAGCAACAAGATAAATAACTTTAACATCATGACGTTAAAAAATTACGAACAAGAAATTATACAGGATATTTTAAGGATTTGGGTCCCGATAAAAAAATGGATAAACGGCAAGAGCCTAACGAGTGGCCGTCTCCAGATAACGTAAGAAAACTACAAAAATTCAACATGTGAATATTTGAGGGAAAGTTTGGGTGAATGGGCAAAGAATATACCCTCTCTATTATGACTGATTTTAAGGCAAAAGAGGGAGTAAACTGCCAAAGAGAAGCGAGTCAATTTAAATGTTAAATGCATAAAGCAAACAAAAGAGACACTTAATTATTCTCATTCATCTGCAAAAGAAACCGTGTTTTTAAAGCTAAATTTCTAAATTTCGTTATATGGCCATTTAATTCCATTTGCTTATTTCTGGAAACAGTAACCAGATATATCAATATCTTGCTGGTTCTAAACCTTTCCCATTATTTCCTTTAGTTGATGCGTTCATCTTCACAAAGATTTAGTCCTCGTTTAGCATTTGCTTTTAATTCATTGCAGAAGTCTTTCATGAAGACAACAAACAACTCTTCCTTGTCTTCATTCTTATCTACACATTATCTAATGAGAGTTACTTTAATTATTCCATTCTCATTGTGAATAATTTTCCTGTAACACTTCTACCACTCTAGTAAATTTTAGTTACGGTCTATGCATGTGTTCTACCTTTGTTGAGAGAGCAGCTGATTATTTTGGGTTCACCAAAAAGGTTAATAAAGTGATTTTTTCTCATAAAGATATTGAGAATCACTTTCAATAATTCACACATCTTAAACACAGCCTATGAGTGTAGATTACATATTTTTTAGGCATATATCATCACCAACGAGTGTGATATCGATCATTCTCACATACTGAAAACGTTTTTAGGAGCACACGTCGCTCCAAAGTCACTGCGACTTTGATAAAAGTTTGTAATATTCATGCCATCTTCATATGGAATTCACATTCGCATCAATTATAATCCATTAAATAAAAAAATGTCGCCTTGCCATGAATATTACCACGAAAGATGTTTTGTTCACACTGGCAAATACTATTATCTTATAGAAATAAGTCATGGATATTGAAAATTACTTTCGTCAACTAATTGATGGTAAATTTTAAATACTCATTCGGTCATTTACATTAGTGTGTAGATATAGATTTCTACCAGAAAAGGTTTTTGTAAACGAAAAACTTATATAAATATCAAAGAAAGAAACTTTTGCAAATTTTCAACAAGAAAAAAGAAACTTTTACAAGATTATGGAAATTCTCCATTACTTACTTTCATGAATCTTTAAACTAAAAACTCTAGCAGAGTTGCTTAGGTCACGCCGTTTTTGGCTGCGTAGAGTAGAGTAGTTCCTAAAATCTTCGAGGACAGGTTGAACATGAATGATCATGTCTCCACTACTTAAACTCACACTTTACCATCAGTTTTAACTTTTAACTCTATAAGAAAATAGTTTTCCTGGGACTGATTGAAATTAATGTCGATCATACTTTAATTACAGCATCTGATATGACGAGTGTATGATGATGATTAGAGTGATGTAAATGTCAAAAATTACTTGAACTCCATTGCTATGACTATCTTACCATTATAGTGTAAGTCAATCTGACGTGGACCAATAAAATGCACATACTTTAACAAAACTTGTAGAGAGAGAGAGAGCAAATTAAAAAATAATACAAAATTCAACAAACCCTAAAGTGACTTTTCTTTCTCCTATTAATACTCTCTCTATGTAGATCTTTTACTTCATTTTCTCCACCTTTCTCTTCTTTTTTTTTCCCTCAGATTCCATTAACCCTCAAAAGTTTCACATACATTCTCTCTGCTCAAAACTTTTTCAATACTTCTAAAGAAAAAATAGAGCTTTCTTCTTTTTCATTGTTCCATTTGCTTAGCATTTCAGCTTTAAAAAAAAAACTAAATGGGGAGACACTCTTGCTGTTACAAACAAAAGCTGAGAAAAGGGCTTTGGTCTCCTGAAGAAGACGAGAAGCTTCTCAACTACATCACCTATCACGGTCATGGTTGCTGGAGCTCTGTTCCTAAACTTGCCGGTAACGTTTCATCCTGAACATAACCTACAAAAAAGCTACCTTTTTGTAATAACAAACCTGAGTCTACTACTATACAGGTTTGCAGAGATGTGGTAAAAGTTGCAGACTGAGATGGATCAATTACTTGAGACCTGATTTAAAGAGAGGAGCTTTCTCACCAGAAGAAGAGAATCTCATCGTCGAGCTTCATGCAGTCCTTGGAAATAGGTAATTAATTCATAATCAACAATAATGCGGTTCAAGAAAGATCATAGAAAACAGAGGATTATGCTTATGTCTTTAGGGTTCCTCTGCTCCTAGCTCTCTCTGTTTTAACAGAGGATCATATCTATGTGTTAAGCCTTCTCTGTTTTTTTGGTACTGCTCTGTTTCAACAGAGGATCATATATATGTGTTAAGCCTCCTCTGTTTTTGGTACTGCTTTTTTTAATAGATATGAATATATTAAACCTCGTCTGTTTTTTTTGCTCTGTTTTATCTTTTTCTTCATCAGATGGTCACAGATTGCAGCAAGACTTCCGGGTAGAACCGACAACGAGATCAAGAACCTATGGAACTCAAATATAAAGAAGAAACTGAAAGAAAGAGGCATTGATCCAAACACACACAAACCCATCTCAGAAGTTAACAAAGACAAACCAACAACAAGCAGCAACGACCACAAGTCTCTTAGTGCCTCCTCTGCAACTAACCATGACTTCTTCCTCGAAAGGCCATCTGATTTCTTCGACTGCTTTGGTCCTCAGAAGCTTAACAACTTCAACCCCAACCTCGGACTCTCCGTTGATTCTTCTTTCTGCTCCATGATTCCGGCGCAGTCTAGCCCCGGAAACATGGTTGGTTCTGTGTTTCAGACACCCTCTTGTGTCAAGCCTTCAATTAGTCTTCCTCCGGACAACAGTTCGAGTACTGATCATGCAGCACCTAACTGTGAGTTTCAGACAAACAACACCTCGAGTTTCACCGACAATGGTGGATTCACATGGTTAGTCCCAGATTCTTCTCCTTCTCTAGTCAAACCTAATCATAACTTCGAGGAATTGAAATGGTCAGAGGATTCGAACACACCGTTCTTCAATGGGAGCACTGAACAGAGTCAAATCTCTCTGCCGATCTTCATCAAATTAGAGGCAGATTACTTAGCCAATGTTTCAAGCTTGACAGATCCTTGGAGTCAAAGCCAGAACGAGAGTTTGAGCACACCTGAAGCTAGTGACGTGTTTTGCAAGGATCTTCAGAGGATGCCTGTCTCTTTTGGTCAGTCCCTTTAGGTTTTAATTTTTCTTAACTCTTAACAGATGTATAGAGCAAAAACATATACTATACATACGTACGTATACAGTGGATTTTTAAGTGTTCTCATGGTGTCTTTATTTCTATTTTTAAGTGAGTTTCATACGTCAAATATTCTTCTTTCTTTTGCAAATCTTTTACTCTCATACTATATACTTTTTATTGGGTTATAAAGATTATGAGGTATAGAATTATGGATGATTCCAGAGGTCTGTCTTTTTAATTAATATGTTGAAGAACAATGATGAACGTAATAGCTCAGTTTCTGTTTGTTTCCGTGAATGAGTTGTGATCCAGAGTCACATCCTTCACCATGTTTCACACCTGTAACTAATTACAAGACAAAAGGAAAACATAAAATTTAAGCAAACATGATAAATAATCTGAAGTCTTAAGAAGAAGTGTTGCTCCCATGTTGCTGCTCCTTTTCTTTCTTGTAATAAGTTGTGTTTCACAACATTGTAAACTCTAAAAAAGTGGTATAAATCTTAACATTTAGACCCAAAAAAAAAAAAAAAAAAAGTCTTAAGAAGAACTATGTGACACTTTTTGGAAAGTTTTTTTTTTTTTAAAGTTAATATTTTGTTAAAAGAATATATATATAGTTTCGAGAATTTGAGCTAAATATACATGAAGGAAGAGATCCTAAAGTCAATTGGTTTAGTTTATATCAAAACTATTGTTTGAGATTCCAATCCAAAACAGTCGCTCATACTTTTTATAAATAACCTAACGCAAGAAATTGACCAGTAAGTAAGAAAATGTAATGTCTGTTTGACATAAATGCAAAGACGATACTAGTATATTTTAAAATGATAGAAATTGGTATGTCACACACATTAGTCTAATTTCAACATTATACAAACGAGAGGAAACATATTATTAAAACTGGTTTGACATATGAAAATCTCAAATTTTTCAGTTAAAAGTATCTTTTTTACCGACCAACATAATAATGGGTTTGAGGAATTAGAGATATTACGATAATATGCAGTTCGCATTAGAATAAAGCTTAGTGGAACGCAAGAGACAAGGGTGCATGTGAACTGAATAATTGATTCTACATTGAACCAATCATTGAGTTAGTTCTGATTGGCGTATGTTTTGTTAAGGATGATATTATCATAAACATCTGTCGCGGTTTGCTAACAATTAATAAACATACAGTATCTATTGTAAAGAATGGAGAAATAATGTTGTGAAATCTCTGCATTTTTTTTCTTATATCTTATGATTTATTTACTTATACCTATGCAAGATTTTAGTTTTCTTACAACATATTAAAACCAATAATATCTTAAAAGATGTAAATGAATTCCACTAAATCTTGTTGCTATCACATGTTTTATTTTCTGATTGGTTTTTTTTTATTTTGCTTATTTATTTTAATATGCTAAGGTTGCAACTGAAGCTGCATGCAGAAAGTCGAAATATTGATCCATGCATGAAACGTCATCGGTTGAGAAAATGATTACGAGTTACTGCACAAATAAAAGTCTTGGGCTCAATAAGCACGAGGATAAAGGATGTTGGTAGTAGCCAATCTATTGCGGTAATAATCTTTGAGATGAGCTATAACCATTTATTTTGATGATCAGTAAAGAAACCCTAATCCCAACATACTATCCGGTTAATGAATTCAAAAACATGATCAAATTATCTTACAGAAACACAAGAAAACAAACAAAAACAAACAAGATCTAATTGAAACGATTCTCCATCTCCTTAATTAGCATTCTCCCTCCTACTAAAAGACAATGAAACACTACCATCTCAGACAAAAGAACAGAACTACTTTAGAATCAAACAAAAAAGAATGATTAAAGCAACACGTACCTTCCCTTTAACTCGCAAAACCATATTGTCTAGGATCCAGTTGAGGACCCAAGGCGAGAACGTCGCACCAATCCGATTTAGAAAAGGAAAAAGTCACAAAACCGGCTTCTTTTAACGAGCGAAGAATCGGACCGTAACCTCCTTCACCGCTGATTACAACAACTACAGTACCCCGAGGATAAGTCAACCTTTTCCAATTATCAATGCTGCTGAAAATCCTGTACTGGTTGCCGCGCTCTATCGACCAATCCACAGTTACATGTCCTATCCCACTAACGTTAAACCTATCGCACAGGTCCTTAGTAAACGATCGCCTCTCGATAACTGCCTCGACGAAAAGAGAGCCGCAGAACCCTAAATTCTTCATGGCCGATTTTATGGCCCCGTAGATTCGGAGAGCGTTGTAGCCACTTGGAATAACACAACTCTGTACATCCCACCATACAAATATGCTCGATTCACGATTCTTATGTTGCTCCTCCATCGGCTGCGAAACTAGGGGTGAGTGTAGATGATAAGAATATTAATTTGGGTTTATTTTCTTTCTAGGGTTTTCTCAAATATAAAGATCTAAAAGGTGTTAGGATTTAAAATCAGCCGACACATTACATTACGTCATATAATTTCCTAATCCGATATTGATTTCGTATGTGGGCCTCGAATTGGGCCTGTTTCCCATTATAAAGGCTTGCTTAAATGAGCTTAACTTGATAGAGTTAGCCAAGACGTGTCGGAGTATTTACTCTCTCGCTTCGACGTCTTGGAGACCTAGCTTGCCGGAGTTAAAGCAGAGCCCTGGAGGGAGATGTGACCTTGCAACCGGAGACTCTACCGTGGCTCACTTTGCTTGTTATGTTACAGTGGACCTAAGGAAGGGATGAGCTGAATCGGAGTTGTCACCAGCCACCACCATCGATGTGTCGGAAGTCGGAACCATGAATCCGCCGGTGATGAGCAGTGTTATCGGAGAGACATTGAAGCTGCCTCAATGACGTTACGTTTTGGGTCTGTGTTGACGTTAGCAAATCCGAGAAGGTTTTAATACATTTTTTTGCCTGTTTCTTGGGTTGCAAGCAACCAAATATAAGCCATTTAATTTGATCTAATCTTTCGTGAGAGATACAATAGAGTGAAGAGCCTAGAGAGATCCTAAGATTTAGAGAGCTATAGGCGATTTATTAAATATTTTGAACTATTTTTCTTAAGAATGAATTTGGAAACCTTAATTTTTTTTTTCATTATGTTTGGTTCATGACCGGCTCTCACGAGACTGGACTATCATAAAATACCGCATTATTTAATCTCCACTGATAAATATCGAGAAAAGGTATTTGACATATGATAATAAGCAATATGATGATAACACATTTCTAACTAAATTTTTGAACAAACCATAGCCTTTTATTAAAGAAGAACAAAAGCATAAAATGCCATAATAGAGAAGAACAGTGCCATGTACTAGCCTTCTTCTTCATCTTTTTCTTGACTTCTTGTGTTCGACATGTTGTGCTTTAAGTTCATCTCCTGCTTTAAGTTCCTCTTCTGCTTTACGTTGGCAGCTCCTGATACCAGCTCTAAAACACGCCAGAACATGTCTAATCGTAGTAGCGTCCTCTTTCTCATAAGAACCGCAATGACGGTAAAATTGCAACTCCTGGTTGACAACACGAAAAGATAAGGTCAAATTTCGGAAAACCACAACTCAAAAACAGTTATATCAAATGGATATTTATAGTTAGACCATGACAAATGTATTGATTAGCTAGAATACTTACTTTTAGTCCATGTTCTTTACTGTAGAGATGCGTGATGAAACTTTCAAAGTCTTTGACATAATCGACTTTGCCATCGCATGTTGAGCAAACCAAGGCAGGTTCACCCGTTTCACTGCACTTATCCTCCTCCTCCTCAAGTTCCCCTGCACGTAGCATTGCCAGTAAACTATGCCAGAGGAAGAAGCACCCTTCTAGTGTAAAGGTTAAGTTGAGTGCGGAGTCGACTTCATTAGTATCATAAGACAATAGTGACCGGATAATATTGTTTCCTTTCCTCTCTAGACTCGCAAGAGTTGAACCAAACGTTCGTTCACCAGATAAGAGCATGCAATTAATAGGAGATGGATTCTTCAAGCCCCACGAAAACAGATAATTTCTAATTCCACTCTCATCTGTTTAAGAAACTAAACACTTGAGAGTCTAAACAATAATTTTTTTTTTTTCTTATGGAAAAAAAAAAAGATTAGGATGATGAGATATTATTAACCTTTAGGAACGTGACGGAGAGCGATTCCAGAGGAATAGATGGCTCTCAGGACGTCAAGAGGGACTTCTGTTAGTATGCCAATGGCTGTGATGGTGAGAGGACCCGTGTAGCCTAACTTCTTTAATGCCTTTTTAATCCATGGACCGACCATACGAGCATCAACGTCAGAGGGAACCGGACACCTGGTGATGTCCCACCAGACCCTTGTTTGAGCCTCAGCCTCAGCATTCGTCGGCGCCTTTGGGTGTATCATCATACCTGCTCTAGAACATGTTGGTATCTTCTGGATAGTAGAAGCCTCAGCCTCAGCATCCTCCTGCGCCTTGGGGGGAATGGGCATCATCATACCTGCTCTAAAACATGTTGGTATCTTCTGATAAGAACCATGAGAAGCCTGAGGATAATATCGATAACATGGAGTCAAATTTCGGCAAAAAGAAAAAATAGATGTTATAGTTAGACAATGGAGAAAATGTATTAATTGAGTGAGATGCTTACTTCATCACGTGCATGCTCTGTACTCTTGAGATGCGTGATGAAACTTTCAAAGTCTGACGTTTTCATCGCATGTTGAACAAACCAAGACAGATTTTTCACTGCACTTATCTCCCACCTCCCCCTTAAGTTCACCTGTGGAGAAAAAAGATTAGAAAAAAAAAAATGGATAAAAAATTGTGGATATTTGGACACTTTGAGAGGACACACACCTGCCCGTAGCATTGCCAAGAGGCTTTGCCAGACGGGTATATAGTCAAAAGGAGAGACAGAGGCGGAGGCAAAGTATGTTGGCGAGATAACATTGTATCCGCGCGCTTGTAGAGTCCCAAGAGTGCAACCGAAGATTCGATAATCAGATATGAGCAATACATTAGCTGGAGTTGGATGATTCCAGCCCCACAAAATCAGATCCAAGTCAAAGCCATTATCTGTGTTTCAGACAAAGCAAAACGAGCATATTGAAATTAGTAACTAGTAGATGGATTATTGAAGCGCCACCAAGACATAATCTACACCCTAAACTAAACACTTGAGAATCTAAAAACCCTAATTATTATTATTTTTTACATAAGGATCAGATTAGTAGTTACTAACCTGTAGAAACGTGATTAAGACCGATTCCAGTAGAATAGACGGCTCGCAAGGCGTCTTCAGAGACTTCTGTTAGTCTGCCAATGGCATTGATGGTGAGAGGACCTGTGTAGCCCAACTTCTTCAGCGCACTTTTTATACCTATTGATGTCCCACCAGATCCATGTTGGAGCCTCAGTATTCGTCTGCGCCGTGGGGTGCATCATCATCGCAGTTAGGCCTTTGTTAAAAAAAAAGAATTACAAACGTTATATACAACTCAGTATATGTTCACCATTACAAACGTTTATATACAACTTTGATCCTAAAAAGGAATTAAATCTATAACTTAAATGGAAAATATCCTATACTAAAAAGAAATATGCTACTCACAGTAGGATCTGTTAATCCATAGATGATCGAAAATTACCGACCGACCACACCTTTCAGATATTGACAAATTCTTGTATTACACGTAGCATATTTGTCACCTTGAAGAACGGGCCGGATATGGGCTTGAAAATCAAGCTTTGTTCCCCACAATTGTCTTAGATTGAGGCTTTATACACACTAAGGCCCAAACTTAAATCATCATTGCATAAAGACAAATAAAAATATTCTGATATATGTGCAAAATCATGATGACAGAAACAGATAAGAGTAAGACAAACATTTAACATGATTAGGTAAAGTCATTAAATACACATACCGTGTCATACAAAAACAAGTCTTATTAGCCATTATTTTAAAACAGCACAGCCTTGATCCATTCGTTTAGTATACGTTGACCTTTGAATTTAAGTCATCTCCATCTCTCTTCTTTATAAACTATAATATAATAATAATTCTTAACTGTTAACAATCAAGAATCCATGGCTTCACCAACTCAATTCCTCTCCATCTTCCTCTTCTTCCTCATTACAGTCTCCGCAGATCCCGACATGCTCCAAGACCTCTGCGTAGCTGATCTCTCCTCCGGTAATAAAAACTTTATTTTACCTCTCTAAACATCTCTCATCTAACTTTCTTTAAGACTTTCAGGAATCAAAGTCAACGGCTTCCCTTGCAAAGACGCAGCTAACATCACATCACTAGACTTCTTCTCACAAGGATTAGCGAATCCAGGTCTCACCAACAACACATTCGGGTCCTTAGTCACAGGAGCCAACGTGATGACCGTACCAGGTCTCAACACACTCGGTGTCTCACTCTCACGCATCGACTACGCGCCAGGTGGCTTAAACCCACCTCACACACACCCACGTGCAACGGAAATCGTCTACGTCCTCGAAGGAACACTTGAGGTTGGGTTTATCACCACTGCGAACAAGCTAATCTCTCAGTCTCTTAAGAGAGGTGACGTGTTTGCTTTCCCTAAAGGACTTGTTCATTTTCAGAAGAACAATGGTGATGTTCCTGCTTCTGTCATCGCTGCTTTTAATAGTCAGCTTCCTGGAACTCAATCTCTTGGTGCTACTTTGTTTGGTTCTTCTCCTCCTGTTCCTGATGAGATCTTGGCTCAGGCGTTTCAGACGTCTTCAGGAACTGTTAAACACATTAAAACTAGGTTCCAACCCAAGAAATGATGGATCTTCTTCTCCAATTTCATTACATGTTTTTTTTATATTCCGGTTCTGTTGTTGTGTGATGAAACTAATAACTGATCTTTGAATGTGCATTTTTGAGCTTCATTGTTGCATGTATGATCCATTTTTTTGTTTTTGGCTTCTAGTTGAGTAGAAAAAGCCAAACAGGTAAGCTGGTGTAGTTGATATTACTCTATTAAACAACTTTAACTATAATATGAAAGCAGGTAAGCTACTTATCTGGCTCTTTATATCAACTTGACAGAGTCTCACGTATGGGCCTACTAAAAGTGATTTAATTAACTGATAAAATCAAATCCATATACCTTTTTTTGAATACTAACAAATTCTATACTTCCTCCCATGTGCTTCTTTCAAATTTAAGTGCATTCCATATGGTATGGCCGGCTATTTAGATTTCTGTAGAATGTACAAATCTGTATACATTTTCATGGAGTTGAGCTAAAGCTAACCCCTTCTTTAAACAAAGGACTCTTGCAACATACACAAGCTAATCTTTTTTCATAATCAAGCTAAACTTAGAGAGACAAGAAGCAGTAGGTATAGTTTGAATAAAACCTAAAAAGAAGGAGATTATCATAGTAGAGAGATTCCTGAGTGGTTTCTGTAATTTTCTGTAACTTATGATCATCAAATGACTTCATTTATAATACATCAGTTTTGAAAAAAACATTATGAAACCAAAACACAAGACATGAGATTAGATATACATACCATATTCACAGCTTCAGAACAGAGATAACATAAAGATGTAAATGGATGGATATTTCATTGTTATTGAAACTTGAAAAATGAAAATGAAAATTAAAGAAATTGGAAAGTTACAAACAAACAGAAACAGGTGGCCATCAGATCATATCCATAACCCCTTTTTCTTTTGGGGACTACTTCCTTGCTGCAGCGAGTTCTGCAGTGATAATGAAACTAGACTTCCCAGCTTCTCTCAAGTACTGAACATCTCCATTCATCAGCCTCACCAGTTTCCTGCTAACCATCAAACTCAACCCTTCCTCTGACACATCTTCCTCAGTCCCAAACATTTGGTTTAGCAAAAACTCTGGTAAACCAGCCCCGGTATGTGTTATCCTGTTTTCATCAACTCAATCTCCTCAATGCACACATTCTTCTAACATCATATTTGTGTATTCATTAAAATATTTACCTCATCTCTAAAGAAGCAAGATGCACTAATCTTCCAAGCTGATCTTTCCTCAAGGAAGCTGTGACAGTTATCTGACCTCCAGATGGTGTAAAGTTAACAGACATCAACATAATATCTGCAAGGACTTGTTGAAGTCTAATACTATCTCCAAGCAAAGTATCAGACATTACTTCTTCCTTGGTTTCATTAGTTACACTAACGCTCTTTCCGTTACTCTTAATCATTACTTGACTTGTGGAAGCTGTCAACACTTCGTTTAAGCTGAACTCTTTCATCTCCAGATCCAAAGACCTGCAACACAGTCAAACAAATGAGAATCTAAAAGAAAGAACTCATTGTTGTATACATACCCTTCAATGATGTTTTCTAGATCAGAATCATCAAGAATCTTGCTGAGTTGCTTCTGACACAAAGCGCTAGTTTGCAAGATCCGTCTCTGCTCTGGTCCTAACTCAGTCCCCTCCATCATTTCCCTTGTAAACATGATCCCGGACAACGGATTCCGAATCTCTCTTTTAATGTACGCTAAAGCCTTTAGTCTCTTCATTGCAGTACGCTCAGCTAAACGCTGCACATGGAGAGCTTCCTGAAGCTCATGGCTAGCAAGCTGCAGAAAACAGAAGACACCAGTCACCACACCTTCCCTGTCAAGTTTCTTACTCACACACAACAAACACTCCACATACTTTCCACCCCTTGTAAAAAAACCAAAGGACACTTTCTCAGCATCATGACTAGTCACAGCATTGTTTAGCACAATCCCAAGATTCACAAATGCTTCTTGATTCTTTAGACGACAACATGACTTCTTCTGCGTCCCAAATACTTCTCCTAACAGCATCTTCTCCATCACTTCGTCTCGCTTCAAACCGGTTAGCTTTGACATTGCTGGATTCCACTCTGTGCACCACCCAAACTCATCGGTTCCAAAAATGGGTGGGATCAAAGGGTTTGGATTCTGGATGATGGCTTTGTAGTCACATTCTATCCGAGTAAACTTGTCCATCACAGTCTTCTGTCCAGTGAGATCATGTGCTACAAAACATACCCCAACCACGTTTTCATGGAGATCTTTACTTGCACATGCATTTACAACTAAACTTATTGGCCCAGCATCGGCTCTTGACAGATGTGTCTTGATCTCAAACTGAACATTCTGCTCCTCAGTTCCTGCATACATATACACCAAACAAACAGTGTCTAATCGTTGAAATTAGGCAAGTTAGTGTAAATTAGGAAGAGAGTTACCTTCTAATGCATTCTCTAACATCCTCTTAACAATCTCCACTGAAGAATCTTCAATAAGTGTGAGGAGATGCTTCCCAATGGCATCATCAACCTCCAGACCCGTCAGCTCAGCAATCTTCGTGTTCCAACCATTAACCAATCCATCAGAATCAACCGCCAATATTGGCACAGTAGCAGTCTCTATCAAACGAACCATCTCACTAGTCACAGCTTCTAGTTCTTGCATACCATCAATGTTTAGATCATTAAGCTTCGAGTAAATAATATTTGTATTCACTTCACTAGCTTCTCCTCCATCCTTGAAAGCATTCCTCAGAATAAGCTGCAAGGAATGTATAGCATCCATCTCATAGTCCTTCCAAGGTAAACTCCTAGTCTTGACCACTTCAAGAAAAGCCTTGAAAGATGACCTTGGGTGCATTCTCCTTGCATCATCCTTATCATCTGGATCATGCTTTGCACCTCCCCATCTCACTTCACCAGCTGTATGAGAACGGAACCAGAAGATCATGTCTTTAGATGATATCCTCACAGCCGCCATTCCACATACTGAGTCCCCAAGATCTCTAGGAAACCCAGCATCATGTAAACTATCAGTGCTGAGACCAGTTGAATCTGTGTGGTATTCACACAACCAAGAAGCTATCTCTTGTAGATGAAACTCACTTGGAGTTGTTCCAAGTTTCCATACTTTTTCTTTATACAAAAGAGCTGCTCCATCACATTTCACAAGGTCCATTATGTTGGGAGTCTGTGAGACAATACCTAGAGGAGCATCACGCATCAGCATATCGCATAAGAGTGTCTGTGTGCGGAGAATGTTCTTCTCAGTAATCTGATTCTCCAGCTCCACCTCTTTATTGACATGTATGGCAAACACTTGAGCTAGAAACTCACAAGCATACCTGAGAGGAAAAGGGACAAACCTTGGAGTTGTGTTGTGACAAACCACCAAACCCCATAGTCTCTTTCTCTTTTGGGGTGTTGCATCCTCTTCTCCATCTTCCTCGTTAACTACAACCGCCATAACTAGAGATGCAATTGAATCCATGTTGGCCATGTACTGCAAATGACAGCTGTGAGGTGCTCTAAGTGTGGAGCCACACAAGGTGAGATCAAAGGAAAGCTTCTCATCTTGAAGCACCTTCACATGTTTTGCATTGCAATCAACAATCATCCTCACTTTATTCTTCATAAAGAGAAACCGAGCTGCTTGAGGGATGTCTGTGGCTGGATAATGCAAACCAAGATAAGGCTCTAGACCAGGCTTTGTAACTTCAGAGACAACCTCACCGTGATCATCGTCATGAAATTTATAAGCCATCACTCTGTCGTAGCCAGTGAGTTCAAAAACCTCTTGAACCATTGTATCGCAAAGCCTTTCCATGCTGCCACTAGGCAAAGACTGCAGCCTAGTGATTGCTTTGGCAGCGAGCTTGTATGATTGCAAAGCACCAGCAGCTGTCATGGGAACTTCATAAGGCTTCACCGGTTCAAAGTCTACGATTATGCTCCCTGTAACCTTGTGTACAATAGCATAAAACGGCTTTGCGGACGTCTTGCAGTGGACAAGAATGGGATTCAACAGAGAGACATCTCCAAATCCAAGAGCCTTCTGCAACGCAGAGGCACTAGGAGCAGTGAAAAGGCTTCTTATATCAGTCCCAATGCCTAGAAGAGGGTTCTCGCCAACACTAGGAACTGCGTGACTGGTCATTGTCAACAGCTCAGGAGCGTTTTCGCTGTATGCAATGACTTTGAAGGTTTTCTCATCCAATGCAAGCAAACAACCAAAGGGCTGAATCAGCTTTCCCTTTTGTATGTGATGAAGATAAGTAGTGGTCACTTTGTCTGACCTTGGTGGCTGATTCTCCTCCACAACGGGGTTAGTGACACGCACTGAGGTTGAGTAATCAAAGGAACTGCCTCCTGACTCCTCAAAATCAGCATGGAGCTTTGCATCAACAGTCGTCTGTGCAATGATCCTAGCGCTGTGTCTTGATCTCCTTGAGCCCTCAGAGGACTGACTTGGCCTAGAGCCTGACATGTTTTTGCCTGATACCAGAGACAAGACAGCAAAAACTAAGTGCAAGTAAAGAGGGAGTAAACATGATATTCATGCTGTAATCTTTTGAACATAAGAATTTATGTGTCACAGGTCACACAAGCCAATACTTGAAACACTCAGATGCAAGAATCATCTTACCATGTTCAACTACTCATTCAATGATTCATCATTTACAAAGCAACTGAAACACCTTAACTATGCGGTATATAAACATAGCTATGGAAACAGATTCCATGAACACTACCTCTCTAAGTATATAATACTAACAATGACGAGGATCAGAACCAATTTTCCTATCAATATTCAAAAAAACATCTGCATATATACTAATAGACTAAATAGGTAACTCTTAAGAGTATTTATAGCTATACCTTTAGGAAAGGAGCAATAAAGACCCACAGCGAAAGCAACTTGAAGAGTGAAGAACGCTAATAGTTAGCGACTGTTGGGATGCTTCTTCTTTATAAATGGTCTCACAGACTACAAAACTTGAGGAAAAAAAAAACAAATACACATCAAAGCCAGATCAAAAGAGACCTCTCTGTTTGCAGAAAACAGAGAATATTTTTTTTAAAGCTAACTAACTTTAAAAGTACTAACAAGTTTAAGAAACTCAGTTGCTGACAAGCACTAAGCAGAAAGCTTCAATATTTATCTATGCAACTTGGGGAAAAGGAAAGTAGCTATCTTTAAAGAAGGGATAGTGGTTTCATGAAACCACGTATAGGATCTTGTCTACTCACAGTCTTCAGAGACCTTTCAACTTGTGCTGCTGCTGTCTCTCTTCTCTATTATTTGTGCTCTCCCCAGCACAGACGACGACGATGAATGGGACCACCCATATAACGTATGCCCCATGTATTGGAGTATGGGCACTCTGTTTTATATTTTAATGGGAATGATTAAAGAAGCTAACTTTCGATAAAATACAAATATCACACACAGAACAAGAACAGGGTCAGCTGTGCCGGTAACATTTTCTCGCCAAAATAGAACGGTGGCCAAAACAAAAATGAAAAAAAAAAAACACTTGTTTTCTCTCTATTTTAGGAGTTTATTCCATCTAGAGAAGAAGAAAAAAAAGTAAAAAAAAAAATCAATGAGACGAAACAAGAGACATCAATTTAATGAAGGCAATAACCAGAAGTGGAGTTAGATTGTGGAAGACGACAAGGCAACTCTTCACGTTTTCTCGGCTTGTTGCACTTTGTAGTTACCTCTCTGGCTGGGATGATCCACATTAAAATAAGGGACCTTTCCAAATTTGTTTCCACCTTTCACAGTGATACTGATACATGATGGTTAGTCTCTCTTACACTGTTGTTACCTCAATTTATTTATTTATTTTGCTTTCCTTTAATAGTATGTTAAAATACTTTTGAAATTGATAAGATTTGAATATACAGTTTTAAAGTCGACTTTGCAACTAGGATACCACTTCTGTAAAGGTGATAAGTTATTACAAACAATACCAACGCTGACATGATGAGTTGTATGTGAGCAGAGATGCTTATTAGTACTAAACATGATTAAAGTAAGATTTTGCTTAGATTTAGCAATATAAATAATTACTAAACATGATTTAGTGCCATATAACAGTTTCTGTCTTCCAACTTAGACTGTTTTTAAACCTTACCAAATTTATAAAAATCAAAAGAATGCCAAATAATAAAAGTGTAAATGGCAAACTATATACAAATAATTTTAACGTTATCTCAAGTCTCAAACACATTGATTAATGTTATTAATAAGCAAATGGACCCTTCTATGCCTTCCCAAGAAAGAAAGTGAAAAAAAACCTTTCAGTGCAAATGTGTTAACAAATTTTCCTTGTAGCATCTCTTGTTCAATGCAAATGTGTTAACAAATGGGTTAAAACACATAAGTTCTACAGTATAAAGATTCTATGTTAATTCATAAGATAAAAGTTTGTTAATTAAACATTTTAAACAGTTAAGCCCAAATCTCTTACTAGAGGAGTAAACAAATAAGCCCAAGATTATAAACAAGGCCCGTTAAAAAAACCCTAAACTCAAAAAGACATATAAATAGGCTGTCTTTATTCATTTCGTAAGTTCGGCGGCTTCTAGCGTTTCACTTGTTCGCTCGGAAAAAATGCCGGCAGGACATGGAGTTCGTGCAAGAACGAGGGATCTGTTCGCTAGAGGGTTCAGGAAGAAGGGTACAATCCCATTGTCGACATACCTCAGAACCTTCAAGGTCGGAGATTACGTCGATGTTAAAGTGAATGGTGCGATCCACAAGGGTATGCCTCACAAATTCTACCATGGTCGTACTGGTCGTGTCTGGAATGTTACCAAACGTGCCGTTGGTGTCGAACTTAACAAACAGGTCTGATGATGTCTTATGTCTTATTTATATGTAATGTTACTTCACCGCGTCAATCTTATTTTTAGATTAAAATTTGAGATTAGTTAGAATAATCATAGTTAACCATAAAACGTGTCTTGTTTCTATTGGTCTCTGTTTGATCTTATGTAGTAGTGTTGATCTTGATGTTTAGTAACATGATTGACTTAAATTAAATGCTTTGTTGGTTGTGTGTGTTTTAGATTGGAAACAGGATCATAAAGAAGAGGCTTCATGTGCGTGTGGAGCACGTGCAACAGTCTAGATGTGCTGAGGAGTTCAAACTGAGGAAGAAGACGAACGATGAGCTCAAAGCTGCTGCCAAAGCAAGAGGCGAGACAATAAGCACCAAGAGGCAGCCAAAAGGACCCAAACCAGGATTCATGGTTGAAGGTATGACCTTGGAGACTGTCACCCCTATCCCCTACGACGTCGTCAACGATCTCAAGGGAGGATACTAGTTCCTACCTTATTCCCTAGTGTGTTTTTGGAATTATGCATTTTTGTGGCAACTTAAACTAAGAATGTGATTTTATATGAGAATTTGGCAATCCAGTTTTTCATTTTATGTGTAATGTGTTTATTCATAATTCATTTTTGTTTTTCATTACCATTGATTAGCCTATATTTTTTTCATTATGCAAATAGTTATTGACCAGTATGAATAGTTATGCAAATAGTTATGCAAATAAGTATTCGCTTTGTCTAAACTAAAAGTTTGTACCAATTTTAAGTCTTTTGAGAACTTTAAATAAAAAGTATGTTAATAGAAAAAAACAAGTTTGACAAGTAATAGAAATTTTATTTTGATAATAAATTGTGTCAAACAACCTTTTTTACTTATTAATTGCCTTTAATTAGTTTTCCAGGGCCACCAAACATTATAGTATGGCCCCAATATTTTTCAATGTGTGCCTTTCTTCTCCCATACCACCCATCAAAATCAGTTACTTCCTCGCTATTCTCTTCTGCCACACCAATGACTTTCTGTGTTTCAGCGTTGACTACCGAGCAATCACGAGCATATGCATAAAGTCGCGGATCATCTACGTGCTTAATTAGTAGTCCATTTCCCATTGGACTAGTCATTGTGTTTGGAGTTGTGAACAATTCGCCACCCCAATAAATTTCGTCTGCATTGTATGCTAAATCAGTGAATATTTTTGCCGGCCAAAAACCAAGAGCCTTTTGCTTCTTTCCTTTTCCAGTGAATAACCACCAGTTTCCATTTTGTGGATCCTTAATTAAAAAAAAATACACAAGTTTAAAGATAGGTTTTAATATATTATAGAGGTTCATGACATGGTTTAAATATGAAAAATATAAAAGTAATTTTTTGGATGAATTGTTAATTAAATATGATAATTATCTTACTCGGTAAATGTAGAATCTACATTCCATGATGCGCACAGCGATCTGTGAGACTCTGGGAAATGCATAATCAAGAGGACTATTGTTGTTCACCATCACAAAGCCGGGACAGTTCGTATTGAAACAGTGTTGCCCACGTGTCTATCCATTAAGAAAATATTAATATGATATTAAGTAAATAAAGAAGAAAATTCTAATACTGCTGATTTATTTCAAAGTATAACCATTTTACGTGATGTAGACCTTACATGGAAATATGCAAATTTTCGGCAACGATTGTCTCCATAAAGCGTCGGGTTAACCTGTCAAAAGGCAATTTAAGCAAAATAATAATTATTTTTATTTACTTATATTAATTTTTGTGTAATAATAAGTTATGTGAAAGCTATGAATGTTATGTTTTTTTTTTGATAAATAGCTATGAATGTTATGTTGTACCGTCCAACCAGCCTTGATGAAATCTGTACCGTTAGAAACTTTTATTAAACCAGAAGAGAATTGGTGTTGATGAACAAATGGAGTTTGGTATAAACTGAAATGAGCAAATCCTCCTCCAAAATCCATATCTAAGTACTTTCTTCTGACTCTGTTTCCTGCATACTATTAAATTTCACTATTTTTAATGTAACTTATTTAAAGAAAATACTAATACATTTGGCTATATATAAAAAAATAATTTGAGAAAGACAGGATAATTTATGCACATGTAAACCCGGTTCGGAATCGGTTAGAGGATGAATATTTGAGTCAAACATTTGGTTGAATTTCTTTTGTCTTATAAGGTCTTCTTTGGTAGTTCTTCTTATTGGGACTGTGCCATTTGGGCATCCAACTTCTATTTCATTGTCACCTTCTTCTGTCTCTTCTTCGCTTTCAACTTCCTCTAGTCCATTCATGTTGGTTGGTCTCATCTAATGTGGAAAATATACAATTTTAAAATAATGATAACTCAAAATGATGCCTGACATAATATTTATTCATAAATTATAAAAGATTATTACTTCAGGATGAAAATCATGGCTTTTCAAGAGAGCATGATCAAACGCAGGTTGTTTGTAAAAATCTATACAATCATAGATATCACCATATTCAGTCTGCAAAACATAAATAAAATAGTCTATAAAAAAAAGTGTGGTTTTATTAGACGAACAATAAGAACTGAAAAGTTAAATATATGTACAAAAATAAAGTAATGCACGAACCTTGAGTGTCTTAACAGATGGTTTATTTATAAGCTTAAGTTGTCTCTCTAATTTCAAATCTTCTTCATATAATTCTCTAGTTGCAGGCTTTGCAACACAACTTGTCAACACAAAAACGGCTAAAATGAAAAACTTCATCTAAAACATACGAAGATAATTATTATTTCTTTTTGGATGGTTGTTTTCTCATAACCCCACACGCACATACTTATATGGTTTATTATGAGCACTTATACATTATTTGAGTTCACAAGAATTTGATATTTTAGTAATTTGAGAATAATAGGAAGTTTGCGATTTCTGTAAAACTAAATCTACTATTGATAACTAAGAAAGAATATTATATGGATTGTATCAAATCTCGAGTTAAAATGCATAGGAATATGCAATGGCATATTCTATTTTTCTAATTTGGATTTTGGGCTCCAATATATCTCCTACCCTGGAATCAATCTTAATAATATTTTCTATTAAAAGAGAAATGCTAAATTTATCTAATATTTAGAAGTCATGTTGCACCATGTCATTAATTATTTAATTTGAAATATTTGATTGTTACATTAACCAGTCAAATATATATTATTTTCAAAATATATTAATAATTAATAAAGATATGAATAATAAATAAATTTAAATCTTTTCTATTAAAAGAGAAATACTAAATTTATCTACTATTTAGAAGTCATGTTGGACCATGTCATTAATTATTTAATTTGACATATTTGATTGTTACATTAACCAGTCAAATATATATTATTTTCAAAATATCTTAATAATTAATATGGATATGAATAATAAATAAATTTAAATATAACAAAAATGTTGAAAAAACCTAGCAAGATCTAACCCAAAAATCTAAATATTTTTTTTTATAAAATAAATATCTTTATTTCGTTATTATATATAATTATAATTAAAACTAAAATATAAATTATATATTTCAAAAGTTTAGTTATATATTTATAAAATGAAAAATATACCCGCACAAAAGTGTTGGTGAAACTCAAGTACCATTTATGACATAAAACAATTTTTCTCAATATGTTTCAAACTAAGAACACAACAACATCAACATATGCTATTAGCCAACCTCTGCTCAGACCAACTGATAGTGGAAGAACTAGATTTAAATTTTATAAGGGTCATAATTTATTTATTATATATAAAAGATATGTATATTAGATTTAAATCCATAACATGTGGTCAAAAAGAAAAATTTTGACCAATTCCATAGCAACAACTAGGAGTATATTGGGTTTATAAGACCACATTGTTACATCATTTTTAGAGAAAACATCAAACTTTGAGAAAAAAAAGAATATGAATAGTATTCCCCCAAATTTGAAGAAACAATATTCACAAACTCATGTTTTACTATTGAACTTTTTATTCACAAATAGACCTTTTGAATGTTTATATAATATTATTTTCTTTCTAAAAAATTAAAAATTTGTGTTTTATACTTTGTTAAAATTAATTATACTTTCACTACAATTATAAGTTCATATAAATCATTGTCTTTTCTATTAATTAAAATAAAAATTATATGTGGGTAAAATTTGTAAGTTTTTAAAATACATAGCATTATTAAAAAATAATAATAACAATTACTAATAGAATATATTTGGAATCTTCAATTTTGAGGAGAAAAATAAAGGCAATCATTAGAGTAAAACCCAAACTAATTTTAAATTTACATCATTTTGAGAGGAAAAATAATGTATACTATTGGAGATATTCTAAGGAGTTCTAATATATCCCCTATCTTGGAATCAATATTACTAGTACCATTTATGATCAGACAACCTGTGCTCATACCAACTGATAGTGGAAGAACTAGATTTAAATTTTACTAGGTGGCTAGCCCGCGTAGGACGCGGGCAGAATTTCTTCTTAAACATTTTTTTCATATATGAGATAGGAAAAAAGAAACTACGCATGAAATAATGCAAAACCTTAAGATCGTAGAACTAATATACTACTCGTATATATAAGATATTTCTATCAGATTTTTTTTTGTCGATATTTATATCAGATTTAAATCCACAACATGTGGGTCAAAAATAAGATTTTTTTACCAATTTTATAGCAACAAACTTTATTAGATGAGCTTTTCTATAAAGTAAATCATTTTGACTAAAGTAAAACTTTACTTTTGAATTTTGATCATAAAATCCATCTCGATGCCGGATAGATTGGCGATATCATACCAAGAGTTCATATTATAGTCAAACATATTAGTGAAATCAATACTGAAGAGACAAAGTTGTAAATAAAACCCCAAATAATGTGTTTGAACCTTGGAAGGAAGACTCCCTGTGTTTTTGGAACTCGTCATATGTTTTTTTTGTAGCGACTTAATACTATTTTGAACTAAGAATATGATTTACATGCGAATTTCGCAATCCAAAATTTCATTAGATAGTAATGTTTTATCATAATTCATTTTTTTGTCTATCAGAACCATTGATTCAACCAGATAGCTAATACTTTTATTCATTATGAACATAATGAATATCTTCTGAAGAGATACAGGTAGAGACTAGCCTGCTTGTTTGTATTGTAGCTTTTGGTTATTCTGTTTGCTCATTGAGTTTCCTAAAATAGATAACCTCATTTCATCCGTTACTTACCTAAATTTCTTATAAGCTATTTCAAGAATCACCCATATTCCAAACCTCTCTCTCTGTCCATTATTGTTTCTACGTTTTTGCAGTTCTGGTGGATCTTCAAAACCTTCTCTTCCTCATTCTTCTAGGGTTTCCTTCCATTTGATCTTAGAATCTGAGATTATATTGTTGGTAGAATCAAGAACCCACATACGCATTTGGTATTAAAAGTTCAAACACACATTTTTGCTCCCTTTTGTGAATTGGTGGTTATGGAAAGAATTGATATTCAATTATTATAGGAAAAGAAGTTATAGGGAGGCTAATCAAAACATACAGTTTCCTGGTTCCGATCAGGAGACTGTGGAAAATTATGGGATGCAAATTCTCCAAGGGAATACGAGCAAATAATAGCAGCAACCAAAACATTGACAACAACAACAACATTGTCAAGGAGAGAAGAAGCAAGTCGAACAAAATCTCCAAGAAGAAGAAAAAGTCACATTCTTCCAGCATAGCAATCGTCGAGGAAAGACCCGATTATATCAATGCCAAGAACAATGAAGAAGAAGCCATACTATTACCCACTGATGCCAAGAATTCAACCCCCATATCATCTAATGAGGAGGGTGATCACAACAAGAAGGTGAATCTTGAGAGAAAATCTTCCAGGTCTGTTTTCCAGAGACGTGAGGCATTGCAACAACCTAAGATTACTAGAATAAGCAGTGTTAGTAATGGAGAAAGAGGTGCTCAGGTTATGGCTGGTTGGCCTTCATGGTTAGCTTCTGTTGCTGGAGAAGCTATCAATGGATGGATTCCACGTAAGCCAGACTCCTTCGAAAAATTGGAAAAGGTGTGAGCTCTTTTTGTTTATCTAATATATTTTGAGATTATTTTGATTTGACATTGTTTGGTTTACTTCTAGATTGGACAAGGAACATATAGCAGTGTGTACAAAGCAAGGGACCTAGAGACAAACCAAATAGTTGCACTGAAGAAAGTGCGGTTTGCTAATATGGATCCTGACAGTGTTAGGTTCATGGCGAGAGAAATAATCATCCTTAGAAGGCTTGACCATCCCAACGTTATGAAGCTTGAGGGTTTGATCACTTCGAGGGTGTCAGGGAGTATGTATCTTATATTTGAATATATGGAACATGATCTCTCAGGCCTTGCTTCAACACCTAGTGTTAAATTCTCTGAGGCACAGGTATATTGTCAATGTTCAAAAAATAGCTAGACCATGGATGGTTAACAAATTTAAATTTTTTTCTTGTATAGTTTATATTTATATTAAATATTCTAGTTTTTTTTAGTTTAACTATAAACTTATTTTGATTTATTATAAAAATTACATATACAAAAAAAAACTTGAAAATTTTGTAATTTACACTGATATTACTATTTAATTTATCAATTTAAATCAATTTAGACTAATTTAAATAGATTTCAACTAATTTAGATCAATTTAAAATTGTTTAAATCGATTTGAATTGCATAAATTGGATTTAAGATCAAATTTGATTAGGGCTTAGGCTATGTGCAGCTCAAACCGATTTTTAGAACATTGGGTATTGTTAATACTATTGTTCTATTTGCAACTATGGTTCTACTATGTGGTTGGTTCTCATCTAAAACATTTGTATGTTTTGGCAGATCAAATGCTATATGAAACAGTTACTACATGGTCTAGAACACTGTCACAGCCGAGGCATATTGCATCGTGACATCAAGGGCTCGAATCTGCTGCTCGACCAAAACAACAATCTCAAAATTGGAGATTTCGGTCTAGCCAACTTTTACGGCCCCCACCAGAAGCAGCCTCTCACTAGCCGTGTTGTAACTTTGTGGTACCGTCCACCTGAACTCTTGCTCGGTTCAACGGACTATGGCATTACTGTGGATATGTGGAGCACAGGTTGCATTTTAGCAGAACTCTTTAATGGGAAGCCTATCATGCCTGGAAGAACTGAGGTGGAACAACTTCACAAGATCTTCAAACTCTGTGGCTCACCTTCTGAAGAGTATTGGAAACGATCTAAACTTCCGGACGCAACCATCTTTAAACCTCAGCATCCTTACAAGAGGTGTGTAGCCGAGACGTTTAAGAGTCTTCCATCTTCAGCTTTGGCACTTGTTGAGGTTCTTTTAGCTGTTGAGCCTGATGCTCGTGGAAACACGGCTCTTGCTCTTCAAAGCGAGGTATAAGACATGATTAGGATTATATTATTGCAAGTCTATATTTTTCTTGTCTCACAGTTTTGTTCTTGTTGTGTTTTAAATTAGTTCTTCACGACAATGCCTTATGCATGCGAGGCATCAAGTTTACCAAAGTACCAACCGAGAAAGGAAATTGATGTGAAGAAAGGCACGAGCAGTAAACGGAATGAGTCAAAACAAGTATCTAGAGAATCTAAACCTGTGCCGGCTCCAGATGCATCAATACAAGTATGTATGATTCTCTCATAATAGACAATACTGTTTTTAATAGTCATGTAATCTTATCTTTTGGTTTTATTTTTATGTTCTAAAAAGAAGCAGCAAGGGCAGAGTAGCCAGACAAGGATGAGTGAAAAGTTCAATGCTAATGAAGATGCATCACTGACACAAAATGGCTATAGGTCCTATGGCCTGTCCTCTGTTGATAGAAATGGAGCGAATGTTATGATGGTGGGTTCGAGTCGGTCACCAAGAAAAGAACTGAGGACACAACGTTCTTTTGTTCAACGTGGAGCACCGCAACTGTCAAAGTTCTCAAACTCGGTTGCTGCTAGAGATGCATCACATTTCTCTATAGCTAATCCACGGTGGCTTGAAGATAGTTATAAAAATAACAACGATGGTGATTGGTCTCAACGTCTGTTGGTTAAACCCAAATATTCTACAAAAGACAAAGAATCCATACGAGTAAGAAGACTATCACTTGCTTTTGGATTTGCTTGGGAAGAAAGAAACTTTTGGTAGGCTAATAAATGGTTGTTTGTTATCTTTAGGGTCATGGTGAAAAGATAGAGAGGATGAACTACTCAGGGCCATTGGTTTCTAATGGAGGAAACTTAGATGAAATGTTGAAAGAACATGAAAGACGGATTCAGTTAGCTGTTCGAAAAGCTCGGGATAAGAAGACTAACAAGGACTAACATGAAAGACAGGCTCAGGCATGTCTTGCTGCAATGTAGAAAAGTTTGGTGAGGTCTTGTGTAAAGTACAAACCTCTAATCATGTATATTTACTCTTCATTCTTTTTAATTAATGTCGGTATAGTTTTTTTTCTCCTCTTTTTAAAAGCCATTGTTGTCCTTAACTTGGTCTAACGGTATATGTTCGTACATAAAACAAGCTGTGATGTCTTTGTCAAGTAATCCTAATAGTATCTTTCACTCCATGTCTTAAGTATGAACCCAAATTCACGTTTTCTCAGTAGCATACTTCTATAGCTATTTAGAAAAAGTTCGAAACTTTTGCAGAACCGAAGTTCTTAAACTCGAATCAGACAATGAGGATTAGATCAAATCAACGCCAAGAGCTCAAGATTCACCTTTTTGTTTTCTTGTGGGAAGGGTACATGAAGAATCAAGAAGGGAGACTAAAGCATTATGCTCTCACTAGCTATAGAGTTCATCAAAATCAGAATCAAATACTCTGTTTCCTCGAATCTAAACTCTTTATCTTCCTACTTTTTTCCGTTCAGATCCAGTATCAAAGCGCTTAGACAATCAGTTATAGCAAGAAACTAAACTAGTAGCTGATCAGGAAAAGCAGCTGGATGAATATGCGAAATGAAACGAGCGTCATTGATAAGAAATAACAAAAAGTCTTGCACAATACCAAAAAGGGCAAAAACACAGCAAAGAAGTCAAAACAGTTGTATATAAAATCTGAGTCGTACAAAATACCAAAACACATTGCAAACACCCAAGCCTTTCAACCTCTTGACTTGTAGCTGAAACATATCCCACGCTTTTCTTTTGAATTATCTGAAATGCAGAAGAAAATTCTTAGACAGGAAGGCAGACAATCGTGTGCTAAAACTGTAAGATGTTCAGTTAATTGACGAGGAGTAAAAAAAGTATCCATGCTAGTTCTACTAGGAGACAGATATAATGGTTTTACCTGTTGACAAAGATGGCGGTTGGACTGCCAGGAGATGGAGGATTCTGCTTCAAGAGTGAAGCATGTGGACCAGCTTTAGCAACATCATTAGGGTCACTAGCAGAATAGATCTCAACCTCTTCAAGACCAAGTTGACGCTTGATCAAGTCCATGTTACTCTGAAGGACTTCCATCTCTCCAAAAGGTAGCTTCAAATTCAGAGCCTGACTGCCAATAGCAATGGCCTCGTCCTTCTTGAACTTAAGGAAAGGCATGCAAAGCTTCTGAATTTGCTTAAAGTTCTCTGCTTGTCCCTCCTTCTGCAATATCTCCCTTAGTTCAGCAAGTAGCTCTGCATCAGGGGCAAAACTACGGGTTTGTTGGTCAAATTTGCTTTGCAGAATGTTGAGGCAGTGAGCTCTCCATCCATCAAATTGCTCATTCACGTATACAAGGCCCTTCAACTTCTCCTCTGCCACTGCTGTTACTTGAGGGGCTTTCTTAGCAGCCTTCTTGGATCCTAAGAGCTGCTTTTGTAGAAGCTTTCTCATTAAGATGATAGAATCCTGCAGATACTTGTTAGCACCCTTGAGAACCAAATCTGGCTCATTCGATGCTGGCCAGCCTGCTGTTACCACACAGCCTTCCTTCTTCAGAAGTTTCCTCCAAACATATTCTGCATAATGAGGACAGATTGGCTCAATAAGGCGTGTTTGCACATCCATAAAGGTCAGTACCAAGTCATGGTTCATGCCGCCAACGCCACAAGACAGTCTATACTCATCTCGAGCAGCTTGCAAGTCGTAGAACCCGTTCTTAAGTGCCTCCCTAAACAAACAATCTTTGTAGGCCTTTTCAGTCAATCTGATAGCAAAGTTCATGTCATTTTCAAACACTTTATCAGCATATGTAGATGGAGGGCCCGTTCTCAAGGAGGATTCTTCAGCAAGAATCTCTTCCATCCATGTGAGCTCTTTTGTCAGGCGCAAAATAGCAGCATTTGCAGTTTCAAATACAAAATTGGCATCGTCCACGCCATCACCAGCATCAGCCAAAGAAAACCTTGTAGCAGTGGCAGAGAATTCTTCAATAGCCTGTTTCAGTGTTCTGAAATTGCCAGTTGACTTCGACATTTTCTCAGAGTTAAGCATAATGTGACCATTACATCTGATACCACGAGGCCAGTTACGAGTCGCCATTAGTGCAGTGTGGTTGTAGATGAAAAAAGTCAAATGATTCTGAATTAGATCTTTTCCTGAAACTCGAAGATCTAGCGGGTACCAGTAATCAAATTCCTGCTTCATCTTGCTCAAAAGATCCGATGGAATGTCAGATGATTTTGGGTACTGGCCATCGCAGAAGAGATACTCCCAAACATCATCATTCATCTGCTGAGGTTTCACCAAAGACTTGCTGCCTTTATACATGTCTCCATCGTGAAAGATATGAGCAACAGTATAATAGGCCATGTAAAGAGTGGAATCAGATAAGGATTCCACAAGGAACTGTTCATCCCAGGGAATACGAGTTCCAAGACCAAATGACCGCGAGCAAGCCCACTGATTAAGCCAGCTCAGAGTGTGCTCAAAGCCATGTCTTGTTTCTTCAGAGTAAAGATTCATCTTTGACAAGCACTCCTCAGCCATATTACGCCACTCAGATTCTCCGTACGTTATGTACCACTGGTCGGTAAGAGCCACAACACATTCATCACCCGATCTTGACATCACAGGCTTCTCAGGTTCACTGTATAGAATTGCCTCGCCAGACTCTATGAGCTGTGTCTTGATAATGGGCTTGACTTCTTGAACTTTTCTACCAGCGAACTCTCCAATAATCATGGTTCCTTCGGTGAATCCTTTCAGGTACACCAACTTTTTACCCTCTGCAAGCTTCTCCTTATCATTTTGACTTTTGATTTTCAGATCCAAGCAGACCTTTTCGGCAGTCCTATCCCCATACCCCGGAATGTTGATAATCGGTATAATATCAGTGGGCATCCACTCATCTTGCACACCAAATTTTGCTCGAAGAGCAGGCTTTACTTTCAAGTCATGTAAAGCCATGTAATCATCCGGGGAATCACTAGGGACGCAGGTGACAATGCCACTACCTTTGTTGGTAAGAATAGTCAACATGGGCAGAGCATAGATGATATCGATCACCGCAAGAGGAGACCTCAAAGGGAGTCCAATCAGATCATGCCCAGTCAACTCAAGCAAGCAGGTAGGCTTCTGAGGGATCTTCGAAAAATTCTGGTAGGCAAGGTTGAGTGCAGCTCTCTCAGTAAGGACAAACACATCAGTTTCATTGATCTCATAAGCTCCATACTTCCCATCAGGCAACACCCAAGCGTTTGTCTGTCCATACAAAGTCTCAGGCCTCAAAGTAGCTGCAGCCAAAAACACTCTCTTCCCTTCCAAAGGACCCAACTTCCCCGTAAACGGCTTCACCACCTCCATCTTAAGAAGCGTATACTCCTGAGGCTGAACACCTTCACCAGTAGCACGATCATGATCAGCACAAGGCTGACCATCAAAAGGCGAGAAAATCGTGTACCTCCTGTCTTTCACAATCTTCCCCATAGCTTTCAACTTCCTCATCTGCCACCTCACAAACGCATCGAAAAACGGATTCACATCAGTAGTCACAAACGACCTTCTCCAATCACAACCCAACCCATACGCCCTGAGATCCTCAACAGCCAACGGAGGAAAGTAATACAACCACTCATACGGATCTTGAAACCTAGCAATCTCACTATCAGTCAAACCAAAGCTACGCATAATCTCCCACTGATAAACCTGTCCACCAGACTTCGCCGCAACCTTAGACTTCTTCCCCTTGAACTGACCCGGTAAAGCCGGAGTCTCACTCTCCTCCTCAACTTCCTTAACAACTTCTTTAACCTCCTCAGCAGTGAACACAGGAGGGTTCCCAAACTTCTGAATCTCACGCGACAACTTATCCGCAGAGGCCTTAATCGGCATACCGGTACAGTGGAACCCAAACGGAAGCAGAACATTAGCTCCTCTCAGTCTATGATACGCAGAAGCGAAATCAACCTTGGAGAGTGAGAAGGCGTGACCAATGTGTAGGTAACCGTTCATATAAGGGAAAGGAAACGTCGCGAAGAACTTCTCTCCGTCTTTTGGTGGATCTTTGCGAGATTCGGATTTGTAGACTTGTTCGTCTTCCCACCATTTACGTACAGCGACCTCGATCTCGAGGAGACGGTCTCTCCTCACGGAGCTTTTCTTCTCAGATGCCATCGCGTGACAGTGCCTGTAACAGAAACATTCAAAATCAAACGAAGAAATACACTAATCGAATCAAAATCGAATCGAAACAAACAGTAAACTGATTGTAAAGAGATTAGGCGAGAGACTGACCTTAGGGATGAGGTTGTGGCGGAAGTGAATCGAGTCCACCGCGAAAGCAATGCGAGATTTGGGAGAGACGGAGCCACACTGGGAAAGATAATGAAGAGTGATAGTCGTCGTCTAGGGTTTTTAAGCTAACCCAACTTTCAATTCCTTTTGGCCGGTTATGTTCAATTATATTTAACCGGTTGGGAGCCAAAACCAATTATTAGCTGACTTTGGGCCCAAGTTAACAGGTTACTTTGGGCTCAAGTTAATAGATGGCCCAATCATTTTAAACCAAATAGAACCAGATTAAACCGAACCAGGAGAGGGGAGTATAAATAACACTACGAAACCACATACTAAATACATTATTAAAAACCCTAAATCGTATCTTCAATTTATAGCTTTCTCTTTGCCTCACCATTTCCTCGCGTGAACACCTCTCTGGTAAGATCCATCGATCGAAACTTTCTTATTAGCTTATATATACATCTTTATGATCGTATTCGTATCTATTGAGAGCTCACTGCTTGATGTTACCCTTAATCAGATCCTGTATCAGAAGCTGAAGCTCGTTAACCGTCTGAGAAATGGCTTTGGTGAGTTCTCTATGTGCTTAATTTTTTGCTTTTCTACGATCGCATCATGTATTGTTATGTGATCGTGAAGAAGCAATCATAAACTGTAGTAACTGTTCGATTTAGTAATTCTCTGATTCAGATTCTCTGTATACTGTATACACCAATTGCCTTTGAATTACATATGATCGTGAAGAATCATGCATAAATTATAGTAACCGTTTCGATTTAGAAACTCTATTAACTTTGTTGAAGAATCTATGATCTTGAATTGATGTTAGTTTCAACTTATGGTTGGTATTTACTAGTGTTAAGTTTTGAGGTTGAGATTACGTGTCAAGCTCGAGAATGTATTTGGGAGAGAAAGTTACGTATAGTAACCGTTCGATTTAGGTGAGAAATTTTGGGATGAGTTCCGCTCATTGGAATTTTATATGGTTGCAGGTGTTGCACACATACAAGGGAAACAAAAATGCTGACAAAGCACTCATTGCTGCAGAGTACGTTGGTGTGAAGATCGATGTGCCTTCTGACTTTCAGATGGGTGTCACCAACAAGACCCCTGAGTTCCTTAAGATGAACCCTTTGGGAAAGGTATGCTAACGTTGCTGATATCTCAATTTGGTTGGTTTTAAGCTTGAGGTATGTTTAGCTAAGCAAAAGCTATTTTGATTTGCTAGGTTCCGGTACTTGAGACTCCCGAGGGTTCCGTATTTGAGAGCAACGCCATTGCCCGCTATGGTAAGAATAAAATCTTTTGTTTCTGCTATTTTGGCTTTCCACGTCTGGTTTAATTGCTCGTTGCCATTTAGGTATAATGGATGTTTTGTTATCTTGTTGTAGTTAGTCGATTGAACGGTGAGAACTCCTTGAACGGATCCTCCCTGATCGAATGTGTAAGTTTCTGTTTCACCAGTGCTACTCTTCTCTAATCTGTTTACACTTTCTGTTTGTTAATCTATTGGTTAGTGTTTTCGATGTTTATGTTCATGTTTTTACGTTGCAGGCACATGTTGAGCAATGGAGCGATTTCTCCACGTTGGAGATTTATGGAAACATCTTGAAGTGGTTCGGCCCAAGAATGGGTTTTATGGCATACAGTGCACCTGTAAGCTTACTAACTTTCCTTGGTTGTTTCTTCCACGGTTTTTCATTCGCGATATCGTTAGGACACCATTTTTATATCTCGATTCTCATCCTTGATTGTTTATGATTTAAGGGTGAGGAAGCTGCCATCTCTGCCTTGAAAAGAGGACTTGATGCCCTGAACACTCATCTCACTTCCAACACTTACCTTGTTGGACACTCTATTACTCTTGCTGATATCATCACCGTCTGCAACTTGAACTTGGGATTTGCTACTGTCATGACCAAGAGCTTTACCTCTGCTTTCCCTCATGTGGAGAGATACTTCTGGACCGTGATCAACCAACCAAACTTCAAGAAGGTGGTGGGTGATGTCAAACAGACTGAAGCTGTCCCTCCTATTGCTTCCAAGAAAGCTGCCCAGCCTGCAAAGCCCAAGGAGGTGCCAAAGAAAAAGGCTGCCCCTGCAGCAGAAGCACCTAAGGTTGTTGAAGAGGAAGAAGAGGCACCAAAGCCCAAAGCAAAGAACCCTCTCGACTTGCTACCACCAAGCCCAATGGTTCTCGATGAGTGGAAGAGGCTTTACTCAAACACCAAATCTAACTTCCGTGAGGTGGCCATTAAAGGTATGTGATGATATCTTCTCTTTACCTAGTCTTACAGTTTTCCATGATGAAGCTCATCACTGTGCTTAATATTGTTGCTGCATACAGGATTCTGGGACATGTATGACCCAGAGGGATACTCACTATGGTTCTGTGACTACAAGTACAACGACGAGAACATGGTATCATTTGTCACGCTGAACAAGGTTGGTGGGTTCCTTCAGAGAATGGACTTGGCACGTAAATACGCCTTTGGAAAGATGCTGATTTGCGGGTCAGAGGCTCCGTTCAAGGTGAAGGGATTGTGGTTGTTCAGAGGACCAGAGATCCCAAAGTTCATAATGGACGAGGTGTATGACATGGAGCTGTACGAGTGGACTAAGGTTGACATCTCTGACGAAGCCCAGAAGGAGCGTGTTAGCCAGATGATTGAAGACGCAGAGCCATTTGAAGGTGAAGCTCTCCTTGACGCCAAGTGCTTCAAGTGAAAAGTGAATTTGGTTTGGTTTGACAATTAGTTTTGTATTGAGATGCTATGAGTTGCTTAAACTGTGTGTCTAATCCTGTGTTGAGGACAAGAGGTTGTGGTCTACTGATACTTATTAGTTCTCATACTGTGAAAACCTCTAAACTTTCAGATATAAGTCTTATATTATATTATTATGGTTAAAACCTCTAAACTTTAAGATATAAGACTTATATTATATTATTATGGTTATTTATGTTTTCTTACGTACAAAGATGTCTGAGAATGAGTCTTCGTAGGCGTCTATAGGCAATGGGTCTTTTTGCCTTTTTTTCATGACATTTGGTAAGATAGAGAACAGGTCTATCTCCACTTGGTAACTTGGCATTATTTTATTTTCATGATGTTTAAAGTGAATAATTGAATATTTAGTTGCAAGTATAAAAATCGTAATTTATAATTATTTTATTGTTAAAAATACATAAGTTCTACGATCAATTAATAACTATTTGAAGAAAAAGTAAAACAAAAGAATGTAATGTATCAATTAATTACATAATTTAATTTGTTTGGTCATTAACCGAACGAATTGTTCTTTACTACAAGTACAAGACATGAAATATATGTAAGCTGTTTTCTTTTTTCTTTTGTGCAACCATATGTAAGTTGTTTCTATTTCTCTCAAATCGATCCCTCCTTGTGTAGAGAGAAATGAGGGAGACCTCGGTGAGTGGTCTTTCATGGCGGCCTCTGGTACTCTTCGCTTCGTTTGTTATGCACTTCGTGTTAGGTTCATCTTCTCCAACTCTTGTCTGATATCATTTTCGAAGTCCCTGATTACCAATTTTCTTTTTTAAGTCAGATTGGTAGAATCCATCGGATTTAGTGTTTTAAGTTTCGAATTCGAGAGATTAGCTGAACTCGGCTCTTTATAAATTCCGTATGTTTCATCTGTGTTTGTTCATGAGGTTACGTCTTGGTCATTACGCTATAAGGATTGAAACATTTATATAAGGAGACTTTAGTATTCATCTGTTAGTAGATCTTGAGCAACTCAGAACATTCCCCCATCATGTAGATATACCATCATGGTTTCTGTATAATTCGTCAGTATTTTTATGGTGATGCTAGTAGCATTTAAGTGACTGAATCTTTTTTCTTGTCCCTAGTTTCAGACATTAAAAGAAATGGGCAAATGTTTATCCTCCTTTTTTTGTTTAATGTTGTATTATTGTTGTTCTCTGTTGTCTATGTCGGGAGTTTTTTTTTCTAAGCTAAGCAACATGTGATATTTTCAGGTCTTTCAGGGGATTCCAATACAGGAGTTAAGGCAGAGTCTAACACTTCTTCCAACAGAAGAGGCGCAAAAGTAATCCTCATACTAGTCGGATTTGTGGCTGTAGCCATGTTCTCCTTCTTCTTATATAAGCTATGGCAGAAGAAGAAAAGAGACGAGCAGTATGCTCGGCTTTTGAAGCTCTTTGAGGAAGATGATGAACTCGAGGTTGAATTAGGCCTTCGAGATTAAAACCTAATTTAGAAATTTGTCATCAAAATTGGCTGACCCATGTTTGTTTGTGTTAGCTTGTTGTTTTCTCCAATGTAAGATAAATAGAAGAATCATAGCATGTCCTTGTTTAAACCTTTAATTTTCCTATAATCTTATGTTTGATATTGGCAGGTGTTTATATAAATTAATTCCAATCATAAAGTTCACAGCATAATACAATTCATAAAATTTACAAACGGGTACAGTTGATTCGTGAGAATTACATGGCCAGTTTTCAAGCTTTAGGAGTATATGTCTAACTTCTTCATTTTTTTTAGTGATATCTAAAAACTACAAATCTGCTTCACAATGAAGAAGTGTTGTTTAAAGGTAACAAAAAGGAATGAATTATAAACGAGACAAATTATGAGTCTGTATTGCATCTTAGAAACATAGTATTCGTAGATACAATACACGCAGAACACTGAAATACGATACAAGAAATTAACAAAAACCAAAATAGAACTAGTATCCTCCCTTGAGATCGTTGACGACGTCGTATGGGATAGGAGTGACGGTCTCCAAGGTCATACCTTCAACCATGAACCCTGGTTTGGGTCCCTTAGGCTGCCTCTTGGTGCTTATTGTCTCGCCTCTAGCTTTGGCTGCAGCTTTGAGCTCATCGTTCGTCTTCTTCCTTAGTTTGAACTCCTCAGCGCATCTAGACTGTTGCACGTGCTCCACACGCACATGAAGCCTCTTCTTTATGATTCTGTTTCCAATCTAAAACACACACACAACCAACAAAGCATTTAATTTAACTTACTAAACATCATAAAGATAACACTACTACATAATATCAAACAGAGACCAATAGAAACAAGACACGTTTTATGGTTAACTATGACTATTATAACTAATTCTAACTAATCTCAAATCTTAATCTAACAATAAGATTGATCGCAGTCAAGTAACATTACATAAGAGTGAGACCTGTTTGTTAAGTTCGACACCAACGGCACGTTTAGTAACATTCCAGACACGACCAGTACGACCATGGTAGAATTTGTGAGGCATACCCTTGTGGATTGCACCATTCACTTTAACATCAACGTAATCTCCCACCTTGAAGGTTCTGAGGTATGTGGACAATGGGATTGTACCCTTCTTCCTGAACCCTCTTGCGAACAGATCCCTCGTTCGAGCACGAACTCCATGTCCTGCCGGCATTTTTGTCTAAACTAGAATCGCCAAAGAAGCGAAATGTTGAAGGCTACGATATATTTATACCTTCTGAACAATTTAGGGTTTTTTATTGAAAAGGGCCTGTTGGGCCAGAAAAGTTGGGCTTATTTGCACATATGCTCATTTGTTACAAAAGGTCTTATTAATTGCATTAAAGCCCCTATATTCTTAATTCTTTTATGTTTTAGCCCCCAAACTAACATATATAACTCAAATTACCCTCGACTATTGAAATCTGAAGAATCATCTCTCAAGATAGTGTTGTAGAGTGAGAAAGAACCTCTGTGTTCATCACCAAAGCAAACCTCATGTAACCTTAATACTAAATACAAAGAAACACTAATTTGAACAGACCAAAGAGTTATATTACCTCTATCAATTGATAATATTACCTACCTCTCTTCAACATGTCAACACCAATTAGATATTACAAAATGGCTAACATAAAACAACGACAATCACACACTCACAAAGACCCTTATCTTGAATATAGACTTATGCTTGGCTTGTTTCTGTCTCCACACTCGTTAACACTGCTCCTTAAACCCATTCGTGTGCCTAAAGAAGCTTCCAAATTTAGCGTTTTCTCGGTAGGCTGAGGAGGGATGATACTATCTTCAAGAACCTTAGCGACTTTGCGTTTTCCTTTCCTAGCCTTCTTCTTCAACTGAGCCCTCTTAGCTTTTGATGTCTTGATGGTTTCTTTCACCGGGCTTGCTGCTACCTTGAAACCATCTCTGAAACCTAAGAAGAAGAAGAAGAAGAAGAAGAAGGAGGGGGTGTCTGTAGAACAAGTTGAAACAGTTGCCCCAACGAAACCATCTCTGAAACCTAAGAAGAAGAAGGGGAAAAGAGTTTCCTCAGCACGCAAACAGCAGCGTATGTTCAATAGGAGGCTAGAGCGTATGTTCAAATAGGAGGCTAGAAGAACAAGTCAACCACGTGGTGCTGGTGGAATAGTACCATCTAGAACGAAACTGCCAAGAGACTTGTTAGATTGGAAACAAACTCCCTCTCGACCTGCAGCACATTAATCTCAACACTTGTCTGACCATCAGTAACAGTCGTAAAGACTAGTGATTTAGAAGTAGGTAATGTAGTGTTCCTCGGAATAATCTTAGACATAAAATCTCCAACAGGTTCCGAACACGCCTTGTATGCAACCCTAAGACCTGACTTCTCTCACTCTTTGCTCTGCTGTTGTTTCTTGCGGAAGGACACTTTCTGCAACAATCTCCAAAAAGCCTCCGTACCAAGGGAAAGTGGTGTCACGTGCGTCAAGAAGGACAATGTCACTCACATCGCCAGCCAGACCACTAGCCTGGGATAAAAAAAAATGAAAATGGCTTTTAAGACCTAAAACAACTTTTTTTTAACAGCAAAGAGAGTTCGAAACTAATATAAACAAACCTGGACAGCAGCACCTAGAGCCACAACCTCATCAGGATTCACAGCGAGGTTGGGTTCTTTCCCAGTCATCTTCCTGACGACCTCCTGAACAGCAGGAATACGTGTGGATCCACCAACAAGGATCACTTCATCAATATCTTTGAACCTCAGCATTGCATCCTTTAGTGCATTCTCAACGGAAGGACTCTTACACCTATAAGATTGAAGAATCTTAACTAAGCCACCATGATTTTAAGATTGAGCATGTAGCTAAGCTACATATCGACAATAGAATGAGCAGTGACACATAGAGAAACCTGTTGACTTGTCCAAAGAACTGTTTAAGTAAAATTACCTGTAAAGTAAACCTGAGAACAATTCTTCAAACTTGGCACGTGTGAGGGCAGTTTCTATGTGTTTAGGTCCACTAGCTGTGGACGTGATAAATGGCAAGCTGGACAAAGGAGTATCCAAACACGCTTGTGAGATTACTAAGCAAAAAAAAAACGAAGACTGGGCTAATTAATTAAAATGGTACCTAATATTTGTTCGAGTCAAGGAGGAAAGCTCAATCTTGGCCTTTTCCGCTGCCTCTGTTAACCTCTGAAGTGCTTGCTTGTCTTTCAAAAGATCAACAAAAAATGCCTTTATTTTTCTTGAGTTCTGAAGCAAGCCAATCTACAACTCTCTGCATTTGCAATTTGTTGCAAAAAATTATGTGTGATTCAAAATCACTTTTTTGTTTTTGTTTTGATAAGGGACTTCGTCATGTGTGGTCTTAGCTCTAACCTTGTCAAAGTCATCGCCACCCAAATGTGTATCACCACCACACACCTTCATCAACTTCAAGAACTGCACAACAAAATACATATCACCACATGTTAATACAACAAGTCCGTAGAAACCCCCAAAAAATATATATATATTAGAGAATATTAGGAACAGTTAGAGTTACCTGAGACATCAAAAGTACCACCACCAAGATCAAAGACAAGAATTGTTTCTTTGCTTTTCCTTTCAACATACGCCAAAAACAAGCAGCAGTTGGCTCATATTTCTATTGGAATACACTAAACAACACGATGTCAAACCTATCTTAAAACAGCACACAGTTTCTACTGATACACAGAAAACAACACGACATCAATAAAAGAAAATAGTTTGGTCCTTCCTAGAACAACATTTTTAGAAACTTCAAAATGTTCAAAACCTATAAATACAGTTTTCAACTAATAGATTTTAACAAACTAATTATGGGTATAAATTTTTTTTTTGAAAAAAACTAAATTTAATAACTCAATTTCACGTTTTAAAGTTGCCCACTCGCAGAAGGCGCGTGAAAACAACAACGCGCTCGAGTTATTAATAGTAGCCTTTAGGATCTGTTTGATTTAAGATATTTTTTAAAAACCAGCGCGTTTATCACAAAACGACGCCGTGTTATCTCCTCTCAAATGTTTTATCACAAAACGACGCCGTGTTATCTCCTCTCAAATGTTTTATCACAAAACGACGCCGTGTTTCATCCTCTCAAATGTTTAGCACAAAACCATTCACTCTTAAAAAAAAAAAAAAGCACTTTGCCTAAAAGCATATGAAAAATGAGAGATGTGGAGATTACCATAAACACATCAAACTCGTCCATTGCTCCAATTGGAGCCTCATTCATATATCGTGAAGTGATAATGTAAAGCCTAGAGTCGAGAAAGACCGTTCTCCACCTGCAATTTTATGACATCAAGTGGGATTTTGATCAAACTCTCAAGCTGCCTAGCTAGATAGACTCTTATTGGAGGAAACTTAGCAATCAGATAGTCAAATGTAGGAGAAAACATAGACTCTTATAAATTTCTACACTCTTCGTTTAAGTTTCATTTAAACAATTGATTAATCTCATGTGTTGAAACGATGTTTAATTAGAACACCTTTGTACTAAGTTTCAAATGTGAGACATGGATGTTGTTCTAAAGAGAGTAGAGAGGCAGACCTGAAAGCCCTCTAGTGTCTCGAACACCGCTGCTTGATGCATCTTAACCTGTTGAAGAATACATATATGACATCAACAACTACGAGTAAAATAATATGGACATTTCAAATTCAAAATGTAGCATTATGGGGGCTAATTACCTCTATGGACAAAGTTTTGTCTTCATAAGAGACTTTGTTTCGTCCACTAATTCCTTTCTTTCCTAAATGATAGTTGAAACTGCTTTGAACATCGCCAATCAAAGCAGAGGTTTAGAGCTAAAAAAACACTATCCAATGTAACTAAACAATAATGAACAAAGTAAGTCGTCGTACAGCCAAGGTAACATGCTCGCCGCATCAAATATTTATTGTATTGTAGCTTCTTCCACCGTGAATCTACCGCATCTTTGCAGACCTAATTAAACAATACTTAATGGTGGCATATATATTGAAATTTTTGGAAACTAGAAAAGTATATATACCTTGAGGTCATCTATTGATTCAGAATACGTGAACCAACCAAAGATGCATGTAACCCTTAAACACGCATTCAACGGGTAGTTTCACCTGTACATAAATAGATACGCACTTGTCACTCTCTCGCTTCAGTCTATGATTTTTATTTGGTTAATCTGAGCACTATGATTGTGTTCTTGTTCTTAAGTCTTTGGGACCTATTACTTAGCTCAGTGGATTTGGCTAGTTTTTGGAGAGCCACCTCAGCAGCTGACTGCTCTGCAGCTTTGCGGTTGAAGAAACCAGGCAAGGAATCTTATCTGACACCATCCAGTATTACTGCGGACTGAAATAAAGATTTGTGTGAAGGGCCTTCCTTCTTTGATTCTCTCATAGACAGGTGTTGGTTGGTAGCTTGTATTTCTGAGCATATTCTTGCAACCGGCTTTTGAACACATAGCAACTTGAAACACACCTGAGCAAGGAAGAACCTTCATAATGAGGCAAAAGATCATAAATTTCAAACTAAACCCTATAAAGAGAACCATAAACAGCACTGAAAACCCTAGACAGTGTTATGTAGAACAGGGAAGAGCAGTGAACTCAATAGCAAATGTATAGGCAAGCATAAAGCTGACAACTACATAGTATCATCTCTAAAGGGTAGAACATTGGAATGCATACTCACAGCCTGAAGAATACGAAAATATACTAATATCCTTATTTTATTCCTTAAAACAAAGCCGAACTATCTGTGACCATTCTGGAAATGATGGAAACTGAGAAAGCTGAAAGCTTTTTGGCAGAGAGATATGTGCAGCTTAAACCCAAAACGAAAAGACAAAACTTTTTTATAACTAGACAGAACTGCAAATCTAGTTTTCCAAGGAAGAAAGGAATCGTGGCATGATAATTCACCAGAGGGAACTTTCGTTGGAAGTCATCTTCTCGAGCAGAGTGTAGCTGAAGAGATGAAGATAGGCACCGCGAAGAAGAGACAGAGAGACAATGAAACTTGTCGGAAACAGAGATAATAATAGAGATAATAATAAATAATGAATATTATCAAGTGAGTGTATGAGAGATTAAATTTATAAGATTTAATGAAATTTTAATTAATGAAATGTCACTTTCCGTCTTTTTTTTTTTTTAAATAGTGGTTGTGAGCGAGAGATATAGAATTCACACTGAGTTCAAGATGTGTTATTTAAGTCATATGCGATGTTGTTATATCAAAGGCTGTTATTAAGCAGTTTGTAAATTAATTTTGGATCTCCTTCGTCTTTTGCAGCATGTTCGATCGTTGAGGTTGAGAGAAATGGGAACAGTGCATCTGTGCCACAGTAAAAAGTATACAATGATGGACGAGATTCAAGATAAAAGTGACAAGAGATCATAATGCGAAAAAGGGTGCACCATCTCTCTCTCTTTCTCTCCCTCTGTGTGATTGCAGACTAAAGTAAAGATTATAATCCTCGTTGCTACTCTTTTCAAAGGTTCAAAAACAGATGCTCTTGAGCACAAGTAGTTTACAATTTCCTAAGGAATTGACAGTGAAGCTTGTCAGACATAACTGAGTATTCGAGCAGCAACTGCTTCTATTCCTGAAGGACATCAAATGCAGAGAGTAATTAGTACATAATCCAATCCCATAATAACGTTTTTCTTAATTCAAAACACAGAACCATCAACCAGTCAAGCAAACCAATCGCATAGTCATCCTAATTTCTTCAAACGGACCTTACCGCCTAATAAACAGAACCTTTCATAACTTTGTCCTATACTATTTTCAAGTTCCCAGTTCTAAGAAATGACAGAAAATTGGTTCTCACTAAGCCTTTTTCCAGCAAAGTATTTAAGGTATATGGTCCATAAAAACAAAAGATCCGAAGTAAGAAATAAGAACGGTCAGACACACTAGTGCGGATAACTTAAAAACCTGCAACAATGAATTAAATCAAACTCCAAAACGTTCTACTTAGATCCTAATCCTATAAACCTTTGACTAAGTTAAGTAATCAGAAAGCCCCCATAAAAACTGTTAAACTCAAAAGATTCATAAAATAAGAAGCAAAATTTTAGGATAAAAACTGTACCTCCATAGGACCAGAACCGTCATTAACACCAGATGCAGGAGGATCAGGAAATATCAGGCCTGCAGGAACCTGGCCAAACTTCAGAGCCTGTTCGAGTCTTGCAATTTCTTCAATCGTCTGGGAGTTGATAATTGCAGCCTGGAACATCATGGGATTGAAAAACCGAATATTACTACCAAACACAGAGCCTTCACTTCACTTAGTATAAATAAACAAACACATCACCAAATAATGCAGTTTTCAACACATCCAAGGAAACAATTCCTGGAGCTTTAACGTAGTAACTTCCCTATGCTACTAAGCTGAAAAAATCCATTGGACCCAATTTAGAAATAAGCGCACCTTGATTGCTAAAATCTGCTCTTGTGTCGGGGCTACCACTTTTGGAGTCTCTGATTCTTCTGTAATATCTGACACTTTCTGAACCTCCTGCTGAGATACCTTCTTAACCTCCTCTTCTGCTTCCTTAGATGAAAACAAAGCCGCAGCTTCAGCTCTCTCCTGTTAGTAAAAAAAAATGATTGTCAGGTAAATGGTCTACTTGGCATCTAGAGTAAAGCAAAGTTGAGAGCAGTGGATACATCACATAATAAGGTCTCACCTTGGCTTTGACTTTGATGAAATCAAGTACTCGAAGTGATTTTAGCTTGTGAATCACATAAAAGCGATAATTTGGCTTCTTGGTGATATTATTATCCAATAAACTAAGGTACTGCAGCTTTGGAATGGAGGCAAGGGGATCAATTTCAACCAAATTCACAAGTCTGTTGTTTGTGAGAACCAAAGTGTGCAGCTTTGGTAGGAACTCTGCAGACATACAACAAACACAGCATACTAAAATCAACAAAACAAACAATGTCCCCAAATTTAATATTACAACACACACAAAGAGGAGGTTACCTCCAATATTAGGATTAATCCTGGTGATCCGATTGTTGTTAATGATCAAAGTCCCTAAGCGGTTGAGTAGTGGAAAGTTTTCCAGCTTAACTATCTCGTTATCAGACAGATCAATTGTATCGAACTGGTCCTGTAATAAATTAACCAATCAAAATCAATTCAACACACGAAACATAACAGAATAGAATCACTACAGAGCCATAAACATGTTAATTAGTTTACAGGAAGACTTTCACAGATAAGACTGACTCTAAAAGTATGAACAAGATTACTATTACAAGAAGCTACAGATAGTCCTAAAGAGTTTAAGACATAACAGACAGACTTTAAAACATTCAAACCGCATCCACAAAAGAACATGTCGTCCAGAGACAGAGCTAGAAAGTTACCTCAGTAGCACCCAAGTTTTCGATTACAGGAATCTTGTTACCTGAAAACAAAAATAAATCGACAGAAGATGAGTTTAGCGTTTCGCTAACCCTAGAACGGTAACGGGAAAGGTAATAGTCTTACCTCGTAGCTCCAGTTCTCGCTCCTTGATGGCATTGAAGAAGTGAGGACTGTTCCAGATCAAATCAGCCGTGAGCTTCACCATTATTCAAACTTCTTCTAGGGTTTCACTGCTTCTAGCTCTCTGTTTTTTCTCGTGTTCAGAAGGAAAGAGAGGAAAGACTGTCGAAGAAACTCATCAAAAGAAACTGTCTATTTGCTGTTATCATTCGGTCGGCCCATTTAAGTACACATTTGGGCTTTATGGTAATTGCAATCAGGAGAGAGTTGATAAATATTTATGGGGGAATTTCAAATTATATAGTTTTAAATTAGATAAGAATAAGAATGTATCAGCAAGAAGTAAAAGAATATGTTAAGCTGATATATACTCTGTACAAAAGATGTGGGGGTGGGCGGGAATGCATAAACATCGCCATTAAGTGAAGATAGTATTTATATATATTGATTATTAACCTAATGAAGCCAAATTGATATTGCTTTTGATCTAAGTCATCATATTATTGGACAAATTGATTTCTAATGAATCATCTTCAACACCTTATTTGAAATAACATGTTTTAGTATACCATTGTCTTTCTAGTGTCGAAGCTTCCAAAGAATCAACAAAATGTAAAACCTAAACTTTTGAGCTCTCTCAACATTCATTTGTTGAAGATGGATGCTAAATCCTATTAGTAAAGTTGGGTTTAGCAATACTATTTTTAATCACATTCTTATAAGTTAAATCATATTGAGACCTTATGAGTTTGGGTAATAGGTTCCAAGTGTAACGATCTAAAGTTTCAATTAGATGACTAAGTAAATATGATATTTCATATACATAATCAGATCGGCTTAGTTGGTCCAAAGTGTTTTCGTCTTGGATATATTGGATACAAGTATTGTAGTCATGTGGAAACTCAGCCAAATATACAAATTTTACATAGCTCTACTGGTATAGATCCCGGGATGCATAATCGAAGTGATTGGTTTGATGGTGGATAGTACATGTTTTATTTGAATAAATTTTAAAATTATTTCAAAAAAAGGATATCAATTGAAAATATCGGCTAATAAGTAATGTATACATGGAAACTGAAATATAAGCCACAAAAATGTAATTTGACATTTGACTAAACTTTTGAAATGAAGATAAAATAAGCAACATCATCACCATATTTGGAATGAAAACCAATCACTAAAGCAACATCTGCATATTTATCAAATCATTAAACTCTTTAATTGACAAGTTTGATATATAATTATACTTTGGCGTATGCATATCTTTCCCATCTTAGTTCATATATTGCCATTTTGAACAAAACATTCATTCATTACAACAATTGAAAATTAGATGATGTTTCTTTTGTCTTAGTAGGCAAGTTGGGATACTTATTAATCTAAAAAGAATCTCAAATTTCATTTGTCACTGTTGAGCACATATAAAATTGGAAACAATATATCAAAAAAAGTTATGCACAAATTGTGTAAAACAATCTAAAGAGTAATAATCTTCCAAACAAGAGGAATGAGTAAACAACTCATTTTACTGACAAACCAAGTCCAAGTCCAGAGGAATAAGCTAATGTCAACACATGAAGCCAATGATGATGGAAATGTGCAACCATAGGTAAACAGGCTTTTGATCTGTCTGGAACATAAAACAGCCCTGTAAGTAATCCCAAGTTTTGGCACTCCTTAAATATGTCACTAAACCCAGAATCAGATGTGATGATAAGGACCCCAACTTGTGGTATTCCATACGCTGGATACGCTACCCTGCTTTCAGCAATCCACTTCTTTACCAAAACCTTGATTTTTTTGTCTGCGGCGTTGTGACCCGTAAACTCCGGATCTGCGGGTACGAAAGGAATCTTACGACAAGAGAGCCTCCTCCTATCGTCATAGCTCGTGTTTGCCTCTAATGATACTGCAGCTTGGAAATGTACACGACCATAGAACCCCCTCTGCCTCAAACCGGCAGTAACTGCATCAAATACTCTGAAAGAGTCATATCCTTTTGGAACATGACAGTTCTCCTTGTCCCACCATACAAAGAAATCACGATAATCTGGTTCCTTGAATAGATTCGACGCACTAAAATATCTTTTAGACCTTGACCCCATGACTGATGAAGTGATGAGGTTTCTGCGATCCCGGTGAGTTAGGATTTTTAGTTGGCGACGGCGGAGAGGGGCTTGAGGTTTAGACTTATCGGGCTTCTTTATGCAGAAACCAAAAGAAATACCGGAGTCACCGTTGGTTGGATTCTTTAGATGAGCAAAGAGAAGGACACGAGACTAAATGACTTTCTTTTTTTGTTGTTTGTTTTGAGTATGAGAGCCGTTTATATACAAAGTGGAGAGAGAGAAATAGAGAGGGAGATGTGAAACAAATGAATGACTAGTAGTTAGGCTACTACTTTGTTTGACTTGATGGTACGTGTAAAGCAAACAAAAGAAACTAATTTCGTTTAATCATAAACTAGATCTCAACTCGCACAACCGCGCGGGTATTTATTTTCATTTATTTTTATATAAACATTTTGATTTTACTTTTAAATTGGTATATATTATATAAGATGTATATATCAAAAATGATATATTATAATGTGTGTATATCGAAAATGGTGATTAATTATTATATAGTATAGGTTAATTATTGTTAGAAAATGATAGTTTGTCATTTTTAAAAATAAACTATATAATTTTTAAATTAACATTGAAAATATATAAATAATTAACTTATACTATTACAATATTAAATTATATAAGTTTAATTTAAACATGTATTTTATTAGACTATCTATAAATTCAATGGATCATCTAAGTTTTATTAGCCCAATAAAATTTTCTAGTAAGCCCAATAAATGTTATTAATGAATCTAATTAATGTTATTAGTGATTAAATATATAATGTGACCAACTCTAGTAGATAGTCCATTTTATAAAAAATCACACATGAGAAGTTATGACTTCTCTTTTAATATAATAGATTATACCATTATCTCACATTCCTAATACAATATAAATTCCAAAAATCATTTGAAAAATAGATTGATTTTACACAGGACTAAGAACGAACCCATGACATTATTTTGTAAAACACATTAATCCATTATTTAGGACCAAGATATAAGCTCATATCAATAGACGGATTTTATTTAGAACAAAGAAATAGTAAAGATAATTTTTTTTTTGTTTTTTTTTTTGGTTCGGCATGACAATTTAATTTAATTTATCTTTTTATCTCTGTGTTCTAAATAAAATCCGTTTATTGGTTGTGACTTTTCTAAAATAATGATATATTTGGCTTTATGATGATTTCATTATTACTCTATATTAATGGTCCTTTTGTTCTTTATCATCAGGTCCAACGGTGAATGATTATTTTAGTTTGCAATCTATTTTCAAATGGATTTTGGAATTTATATTGTATGATTATTTTAGTTTTCAATCTCTTTTCAAATGGATTTTGGAATTTATATTGTATTAGATATGTGAGATAATGGTTTATCGTATGATTAAACTAAATTTGTTTCTTTTGTTTGCGTTAGACGTACCATCAAGTCGATGTAGTAACCTAACGATCGTTGAGGATGAAAGAAATGGAACAGCGCATCTTTTCAACTATCGTCAACGAGTGTTTTTGCCTAAGAACCGGTGGAATATGGAAAGCGAGATATGTTCTGTTTTCTGAATCTGTCCCTCAGTAAAAAAAATGATTGACGAGATTCAACATAAAGTGAGAAGAGACTACAACATAATCCGAAACAGAGCATTGATAAAATTTTGTGTACACCTTCTCTCTCTGATTGCAGCAGACTAAAGAAGCAAAGATTATAATCCTCTTTTGCCACTCTTTTCAACGGTTCAAAAAGAGAATGCTCTTGAGCACAAGTAGTTTACAACAATTTCCCAAGGAATGGACAGTGAAGCATGTCAGACATAACTGCTGTGAGCATTCGAGCAGCAACTGCTTCTATTCCTGAAAGACATTAAATGCAGAGAGTAATTAGTACACAATCCAACTCCATGGTAACGTTTTTATGAATTCAAAAACAGAACCATCAACCAGTCAAGCAAAACGACAGACAGATAAACAAGAACTTTAATAACTTGGTCCTATACTATTTCCAAGTTCCTGGTTCTATTGGTTCTCACTCAGCCTTTTCACAGTTCCAGCAAAGTAGTTGAGGTATATGGTCCATAAAAAGCAAAAGATCGAAGCAAGAAATAAGAACGGTCAGTCACACTAGTGCGGATACCTAGACAATGAATATAGCCAAACTACACAACGTTCTACTTAGATCCTAATCCTATAAACGTTTGACTAAGTTGAAAAGTTATCAGGACCTATATACACCATACGTTAAAATTAAAAGATTCATTGAACAAGGAGCAAATTTTCTAGGATAAGAACTCTACCTCCATAGGACCAGAACCGTCATTCACACCAGATGCAGGAGGTTCAGGAACTATCAGGCCTGCAGGAACCTGGCCAAACTTTAAAGCCTGTTCGAGTCTTGCAATTTCTTCTATCGTCTGGGAGTTGATAATTGCAGCCTGTAACATCATGGAAACAACAAAACCGAATATTACTACTAAACACAGAGCCTTCACTTAATAATAATATAAATAAAACAAAGAAACAAATAAGCGAATAATGCACTGTGCTAAAATTTAGAGATAATCGCACCTTGATTGCTAAAATTTGCTCTTGTGTTGGGGCCACCACTTTGGGAGCCTGTGATTCTTCTGTAATATCTGACACTTTTTGAACCTCCTGCTGAGATACCTTCTTAACCTCCTCCTCTGCTTCCTTTGACGAAAACAAAGCCGCAGCTTCAGCTCTCTCCTGTTAGGAAACAAAGATTGTCTGGTAAATGGTCTACTTGGCATCTCGAGTAAGTAGATAAAACACAGAATAAGGAGGTCCTCACCTTGGCTTTGACTTTAATGAAATCAAGTACTCGAAGTGATTTTAGCTTGTGAATCACATAAAGACGATAATTTGGCTTCTTGGTGATATTGTTATCCAATAAACTAAGGTACTGAAGCTTTGGAAGGGAGGAAAGGGGATCAATTTCAACCAAATTCACAAGCCTGTTGTTTGTAAGAACCAAAGCGTGCAGCTTTGGTAAGAACTCTGCAGACATACAACCACAACACGAATAATCAAATTTCCATTTTATTACAAAACGCACAAAGAAGAAGAAGAGGATGTTACCTCCAATATTAGGATTAATCCTGGTGATCCGATTGTTGTTTACGATCAAAGTTCCTAAGCGGTTGAGTAGTGGAAAGTTTTCTAGCTTAACTATCTCATTATCAGACAGATCAACTGTATCGAACTGGTCCTGTAATAATTAACCAGCCAAAATCAATTCAACACACGAAAACGAATCACTACAGATCCATAAACATGCTAATTAGGTTACAGGAAGACTATAACACGAAGCCACAGATAGTCCTAAAGAGTTTGAAATCAGATGCTAACTAAGACAAAGGAGGCAGAGACCTAACAGACAGACTTTAAAAACATTCAAACCGCATCCACAAAAGAAGTGCCTTATTGGGCTTTTCTAAGGCCCATATAAGTGCCTTATTGGGCTCTTTTCAGTAGGCCCATAATAAAAATTCGTTAAGCAAAAACGATTTAAAAACAGATTGCTGAACGTTCGATTGGGGGAAAAGAAAGAACCCTAATTTTAACGAGAATCGAAGAGATGATCCGAACCAAATTTGCAAAGGTAAATCACCAGAATCCTTTCCAAGATATCTCCTTTTGTATCTGCTGCTAATACGTGATTGATTGATTGATTGATTGATTATCTTGTGCAGTTTTGTGGGAGAGGGACTCGAGATTACTCCACATCTGTCTCCTCATCTTTCTCAGTGTCGTCAGCCTTCAAACGACGGTGGCGAGAGCAGAAAATTTCGGGTCTTTTGGTTACATTCCTTGGTGGATATTGTTTCCACTTTTATTTAAGTATGTGTGTGTGTTTTTTTTTATTGCTACTTTCAAACCAAATCCAGAGCTTAATTTTGCCTCTTTTTTTTTGTCAGGATTACATGAGAGAAACGAGCACTGGCATAAAGTGGATAGAATGTACAACGAGGAAACGAAGCGTAGCGAGGATCTGTCTGACAAGTTTCTACGATATCTTAACGTAAGCTAAAACTTTTTGATACATATGAAATGTTTTTGTTTTGGTTTTGGTTTGATGATTCCTGAAGCTAATGAATCTCAATTCTTAATGTTTCAGGAAGACTATGACGATGTTCCTAAACCCGGGAGAAAGAATTTATAAAAAAAAAACACCACCTCTGGTTGGTTGGTTGGTTTATGTGTCTTTTGTTTATCTCTACGTGTTTGGAAATGTAATGTGTGGATGGAGGGATAATAAACATTAATTAGTACATGAGCTTGTCGAAACTTCTTTATCTCTCTCCATCAGTTTCTTCATCTTGTTGCTTGTTTGTCTCATCTCTACACCTCGTTGGATTGTATAAGACCAAGTAGCTAAAGAGAGAGAAAAAAAAAGGTTTATTTGAAGTATGTTAATATCACACGACAAATGGAGAATTTGTCATATGCTTTCAACCGGTTTACATTCAAAGAATTTATATATTTTCAGCTGATTCTTACACTTTGCTCTTGAGTTTTGATAGTTTGTATGAATCACATTTGTGAAAGATAGCGACCAGAGATGTTAACTTTGTTCTTTAGTGCTGATTTCTTCTGTTGATACACATACAACATTTCTTCTTATGTAAGCAGGAATATATATATACTAGATGCTCTAGGCCAGTGGTTATTTTTCCTCATGTACAGCTCTGTTTAAAAGATGTTATAAACTAAATTACCAAAGATAGGATCACATAGCTTTTTATAAAAAAAAAAAATATGCCCTAAGCGAGAGTTTCTTTTTCCCTCATGTAGGCACGGCTCTGACTGTAGAGCATATATGTTTAACATTTTCTCGGATCTCTCAAATGTTCTTCTTGAATCAGCTTTTATTTCTTATACAAGTCTGCAGTAAGCAAAGATGATTTATAAATTGAACAATACAAAAACTTATGCTACATTGTACTCTTCTTTTCCAGAAAAAGTTATGAACTCATCGTGTTCAATAAAAAATTATGAACTCGTTACACACCACCATGAAAACCTGCAACAAAATCCTAAATATTCTCAGAATCTCTCCACGTACCAGTAATATCTCCTTCCGGCGTAATTTAAAAACGACCGCCAGTCCAACTGTTGCTTTGATAAATGGTCAATGACAACTGCGTTCCATTGTTTGATCTAAAAAATGTGTCGATCATGAACTTTTAAGTAATAATCCAGGTGATGAATAATAAAAACTTTGAATTGGTATAGACAAAAAAAAAGTAGATATGAAAGAGTCAGTGGAGATCAAATTTGAAAATCTAGGAACGATGAAAGCATCTGTTGTTTGATAAGGGACAAAAAAACAGGAAAAAATAGAAAGTAAATTGTAAATAAGAAATTATATAGTAGAAAAAAGCAGTTTGAAATCGTGGTCGGGTAATATTGAACGTGAATGTAATATATTTGATAAAAGCTAGAAAGGAGTTGCTGAAAATTAGGGATAAAAATGTTTTTTCTCTAGTTGATTATTTTTAATTTTTTGTTGGTATTTTCCACTTGTCAAATTTTCATTTGTCAAGTGACTTGTGCTTTAGTATATAAGGGATATATCATATTTAATCAAAACCACACTGAATTACATATGAAAAAAATCTAAAAACTGTAAAGAAAGGTTATATATGTTTACTTAGAAGCTAATGAAGAAGAAAGATGGAAGATGTCTTGTTTGGCCCTCACCTAGAAGCTAACGAAGAGTAAAGATGAGAAAGAAAAAAAAAATCAGATGGCACTGCCTGCATTATACGTTGAAGTATCTGAGAGACACACACATGAAAATCCCAAGACGTGACAAAGGTTAAGAGGATATAGATAGTTTGATGATCGCTGGTAATAAATCAAATCAGATGGAGGAGCTATCTTCATTTCCTTGATAGGCATATCTTGTTTTCCTCGAAAGGTGTTTGCGATTCCTTTCCAGCTGCTCTATCCGCATTTCCTCCATGTTCAGTTCGCGTTTATCATTGTTTTGTTTCATATGTATGATCATCTGAAACATGACAACTAGGAAGTATCAGATGCAAATTTTCATTACTATTATTATTAAAGGTCTTATTCACCTTTTCGTCGTTCTTAACATTCTCTGAAACTCCAGGAACTGTCAAACCAGCTGTGAACCAACAACAATCATTTGCTTAGTGTCAGTGAGTCAGTCAAATAGGAAAATGAATAAAGTCAAAGATTACCGAGCACGAATCCAACAACACCGGAGACACCTTTAAAGCAAAGTCCAGCCACGTTGTTCACAAACAGCTCCAAATCTCCCATTGGCACATCTAAATTATTTTGAGATTCCTAAGCAATGAGAATGATTTCTATTCAAACAAACAAACCCTAATCGTATCGTAATCGTAGGTAGAGAGAGAGAGAGATACCTTTCTCACTCACGGATGAAAAATCACGAGGCTGTGCTCTTCTTCTCCCCATCTGCAAATTTTTGTTCCTTTTTAAAAAATTCTAATGACCTATAGCTACTACAGGGGAAATAATGCAACTTTTTGATCTCTACCTTAGAAACAACATTGCTTCCTCGGAACAACCACGTCATCTTCCTCGTCCAATTAAATTAGGGTTCTTTTCACTCGTCCCCCCTCTTTTTTATTTTGCCTCGATCGTATCTGAAGATCAATAAGAATAAATTGGGTTTTGTTTAAAAAAAATTTATTGGGTCTTTTGGAGTCCAACAAGAAGTCATTTTTCTCACACTATTGGGCCGTATGGACTTCAAATATTATTAATTGATAATGATTTCAAGCAGAAGATCCAAATAAATAAAAATATTGGTACATTTTGAAAACATGAGGACATGAGGTTGTGTTTCTTATTGATGATGATGATGTATATGTTTCGAAGGTTAACTTCACAACCTTTCAAATTTCTAACAGAATGTAAATTGGTAGCACGTAACCCATTACATATATAGTCAATGATGATTCTTACAAACATGAAACGAGAGATTTCCAAAATGTACAGACACTGCAGCTTAAAGGATGAAGGGCGGTTTGAAATGGGAGATGATTAAGCGTTTCTGTAGCTGCAGTTTGAAAACGTGACGTTGTGCTTGTCATGATGATGTATGTTTTGAAGGTTTACTCAGCAACTAATATGACAATGACCAGCCAAGTTCGAAATGAAAAACATATATAGTAACTAGTCTAAGTGAGTTTGTGCTTCTCATTATGATCGATGTTTGCTTCAAAAAAGGCACAAACCTTTCGAATTTTAGACATCAGGTAGTTAATATCAAGCCCTCCATTGGATATATTCTTCAAGGATTTTGATGGACTTACAAACATGAAATGAAAGAGTACCCAACATATACTGAAAAACTATAGAGCGTAAGGGAGGATTGATAATGAGTAGTAACTCATACCAGTGACCAGCCCTGAGAAACAACCTAAACAGTTCATCGCCTATGGACATTTTTTATTTACTTAATAGCAAGTCAGACCCCATGTACGTACAGTACCTAAGTACTTAAAGACTTCTTCTTAGACAACTCAAGCTTCAGTTTTTCGACATCAAACTCCAATGCTGTCACCCTATCTTCCATCTTCTTCTCATGTTTGCAAGTCTCAGTTTTAACCAAAGTTTCCATCTTTGTTTTGAAGTCATCAAAACGTTTTTCTTGTTTCACATCCTCCTTAGTCTCCTTGCGGTAGTCCAATGCCTTAGACCATGCTTGCTTGAGAAGCATGACTGCAATGAAGAGCACAAGTGGACATAAAGTCCTAGCCAAAGCTCTAGAAGCAGTGATTGAGCTGTAGATCTTCAGTTCAGAGTATTTAGAAGGCTCCTTCATCGCCCACAACATAAAGGCAGCCTCTGGCAAATGACTTTTGTTAACGTTCTCTCCATCGAGAACCAAGCGGAGAGGTTGAGGTCACACACTGTCCTTACAGATCACACACTATCTTTAGTAGCTTTAGATACCTACTTTGAGTTCACTCTCTAGTTTTTATCTTTCTAGCTTCAGTCTTTTGTCACATCCACGAGTTCATGATGAAACCTTCGGTGTGTTGTAGTCTTTTCTCAGCGATATCTCATGTTGGACTTTTGTTTCTTGGGGTATCGTTTTTGTCTTGTGCATGACCTGAAACAGCTTGTAGTTGAAGTTTTGATCATTTTTATACATCTTAAAGGGTAACTGAAGAAGCAGAGCGGAGAGAGCTTAAAGTGAGTGAAGAGGATGTGTTACGAGTAGCTAGAAGAATTCTTCCCATCACCAATTTGGCCATTTCAAAGATGAGCTACGAGCTTTTCTCTGGAGAACCAGCAATGACACTCAAAGTAGAATTTACGATTAAAAAAAACTTCATATCTCTCTATGAATGTGATTCGCTCGTTGAACTTGTCCTTCTTATGCTGCTTTTTATAATAACTTGATTGCAGGTGGCCCCTTTTGTTCTAATAGGAGCGGAGTATGGTTACCTCATAACATTGTGGACGCTATGTGCTTTCGGTATGATTTGTTAACAATGTTTTTCAACTGGTTCTTATTGTTCTTGTAGTTGTAAGTATCTCTAGTAGAGTTGACATTGTTATGGAAAACAGGTTTCTCCATAAAGTTTGTTACTTTGGTCTCTGTTTTTTTGGCTCGTGCCTTCCATATTCAGTTGCTTCATCTCTCTTTCAGGAGCCAAAAGGTTGTGGAACATCTCTTATTGAACAAGTATGCGCAAGTGGATCTGTTTCACCTGTCAGATTGAAGACTCCAACGAAGAGGAACACTTGAAAACTTCTCAGCAGCAATCCGATGGTATGTTGTTGTTATCTACATGCCACCAAATGAAATGAGTTTGAACAATTTTAATGACCGGTGGTGAATGTCTTCATGTATGCAGCGAATCACAAGAATCCAAAACCAACAGCTGTTGTGAAGCATATAAACCGTATGATTATATTTGGTTATATCAAAGATGCACTTATATAAAAGTGGTTAGCTGATGATATACATAATAAACAATTTTGTAGATATCAACTTTGAAGGTTCTTGGGCTCTTGTTAAAGCTTCATGTATTATTTAAACAAGCTTCTCTTATTTAAACACTCTTTCTCTTATTTAAAAAAGCCATAAGAACATTCTTTCTCATCATCACAAAGTCTCCTTGATCATACCAATCATTTTAATCACAAAGTCTTCTTCTCTCATTCTCTCTTTTTCTTTAGCACAAAAATTATTCACAAAAAAAAAAATATCAAAAAACTTTCTAAATTTTGATACACTCAATTTAATGTTTCAAAGTTCCAACAAATCGAGGACAATGGAAGTTCACAAGTGGATCTCACGTATTCTAGAGATATCTCTACAAATATCGCCAATATGATGTGTGCTCGGACTAACATTCTTGATAGACAAATGCATCAACAACTGAAAGCTGATTTGATTGAACATATCTGACGTAAATTTGGACGTGATGAAGATAACAACTGAAGATAACAACTGAGCTCAGATGTTTTCTTAAAATTATTCTCGATTATTGTACTAATCTTTTTTTGTTTTTTTTAAATATATATTTTAAATGTTATCTTTTTAATATGTTTTATTTAATAAATAAATTTTATTTTTTTTAAAAATAATTTTTTTTTTAAAAACCCCTAATTAAAAAATTCTCATTAGACCACTCAAAATGGAAGTTTCTTAACTAGAGTTTTTAAGTCCACTTAAATACATTTATATAATTAAATAATCGCTAAAAATTCCATTTAAGAATCATGGGATAATCATACTCTTACGTCTGGTTTACATAGCATTAAATTGGTTCTATTATAATGGTTTAGTTGGTTCTATGTAAACGATTCGGGTCACTTACATCTGGTTTACATAGCACTAAATTAATTCTATTTATAATGGTTTAGTAGATTAGTTTGTTTGTTATTTGGGACATTGTTATACAAACACTTCTTTTAGTAACACAGTTATATCAAAGTAATATTCATTTATCACTTTAGAATCATCATTGTTTTAAACATTAATTTCCTCAACTCTGAAGAAGAAACAAGTGTGCTCTATCTATTCAGCTTCTGAACAAAGACCAATTTCTCTGACTCTTCACCATTGTTGAGGAAATGGAAATTCATATTTGACACGCGCCAGATACAGACCAGATGCAGGAGCCATGGGTTTGGCTGCATACACAGTCTTCGCCTCCAGGATTCTTTCAACTGAAGTAAATTCACATGCAAATTCAATGGAACATTTTAAACTTTCTTCACCTTATATTAAACCCATAAACGTAAACTCAACTAGGAGAGAGAGAGACTTACCATCTGAGACGGTCAACTCTCCAGTGCCTACACATTTCAGTGCTCCTACAAGCAGTCGAACCTGCACGACATTAACAAGACTATAAATCAAGCGACTTTAAACATATTCTTAAATCTGTAAGACTAATGTAGGCAACTCAAATTAATGTTGCTTCTCTCATATCAATCAAGAGACTACATTTGATAATAATATATGATCTACCAAGAGAGATAGTGGACATAATCAAACCTGGTGGTACAGAAAACCGCGGGCACGTGCTGTTACCACATAGCAGCGGTGGCGTCTTCTTATACCAAAAGTTTCGCCAAAATTTGTAGTAACATCAGCAGTCTCAGTCTTGGGTTGACTTGAACATGTGAGAGGATCTACATTGTTTAAGTTACTCCCCGCCCTTTCCATGATAGATGGAAAATACGGGGTTGATGGTACTTCACTGGTATTGAATTCATCTAAACATCTCACAGGTGACTTTGCCTGCAAATTCGTCAAAAATTAAAACATCAATCTAAACTTGATGTTGAAGTTCTACCAAACCATAAATTAGATGCATGGATCTCGTTCAGCTCGAAACTAGAAAGAAATTTGACCTGGCAACCAGCTGCCCTGAAGGAGCTAAAATCATGAGACCCAACAAGAACTCTGCATGCTTCCTGTGTAACAATGATTGATGATGGCCATTAGAGATCACTTCCTTTTAGAGCGGTGAGTTATCTTTTAAAAGAAAAGAAAAGAATCTCGATCACACTGCCGATATAGATCACAGTAATGGAAAAGCTGATCGAAACAGAAGTTGGTGAACCTGCATAGAGCGAAGATCAAGCTCCTCAGGAACATGCCAGGCACGGTCTTTTTCAAGGATGGATAAAGGATCTGATCCCGATAGCAAGCGGTAGAAGTATCTACAGGGAGTATCATGACCAACATTCAGTTTTGTCAATTGAAGTCAACAGAGATTTTCGATTCCCACAATAACAGTTTTTGCAGCATAACCTAGTGCTTCAATACAGGATCAGGATATATCTGAACTTTGAAATGTCTAGAACAATGGAATTTTAGCTTCTCTAATGAGTGATGCACAGAGAATACCTACGTGCGCTCCTGGGCCTTATATCTAGCATGATAATTACTTGGGACACACCGTACATCAATCACCATAACATCACCGTCATTTCTCTGATTAGTAACAAAACGTAAGGATTTTAATCATATGTTAACAGACAGATCAAACCAGGTGAAAGCAAGCACTTTTAGGAAAATACAGAGTAGAGAAAGCGAGTATAGCAAAAATGTAGACTTCAGGTAAACTTTGTTAAGGTCACCAATAA